AGATAAAAAAATTTTAATTAAAAAAAAAATTTTTTTTGGTATAAAAAAAAAAAAAAAAAAAAAAAAAATTAAAAAAAAAAAAAAAAAAAAAAAAAAAAAAAAAAAAAAACATATTTTAATATATTTTTATTTTTTAAATGCATAAGACAAATTTTTGTAAATTTTGTAATATTTTATATGAATTTACATTTTTTGTTATTAGCATAAATACAATACATAAATATTAAAAATAAAATTTACATTTGTATGCAGTAAAATTGAAAAACTATTTTAAACAATTAGTCATTATATAATTTTTTTCTATTTTATTATTGTTATTATATATTCGCTTTTGTGAATATTTTATGAATAAAGAAAACTTTTTTTTTTTTTTTTTTTTTTTGTTTTAATTTTTTAATTTTTATATATCAGCAAAGATGGAATTAGAAAAAGGAAATTATTTGATAAATATAAATAGTATTAATTCTGAAATTAAAAATAATAATGATATAAATGTTATAAGTAATAATAAAAAAATAAATCTTTCTAATGATAATACTTCATTAAATAATTCTAATAGTAGTGGAATTAAAATAGGAATAAATAAAAAAGATTATGATTTATATATTAGCCAGCTAAAAGATAAAAATACTAAACAAATAATTAGAAATAAATCGAAACAAATGAAAAGGAATATTGTAAAAAATAATGATAGTAAAATGGTTTATAAGGAAAATAATGCTTCAAATATAAACACATATGATTATAAATATTGTGGTTATTTAAACATAGATAATAAAATAATTAATAATAATTTTACTAATTTTCCTAAATTAGATAATAGTTTAATTAAAGAAATTGAACAAAAAAATAATTTAGATTTAAAAAATAATTTAATAGGAAAAGATAATACCAAAAACAATATGAACATTATAAATGTAGAATCAAACAAAAATTTATATTTTAATAAAAATAATTTGCATCATGATTTAGAAAATAACGAAAGAAATAATTTTAGCAAAACAAATTATTATCTCCAAGATTCTGTTGATACAAATTTTTACAAAAACAAAGAATTAATAAATTTTGAAAAAAACAATTTTAATAATATTAATGAAAATCAAAATATTATAAATAACAATTATAAAAAAGTTGACCTTGATTCCATTAACAAGAATTATAAAAAATTTGATAATAATAATAATAATAATAATGAAAAATACAACTTAAATGAAAGAAATAATTTATCAAATGATTTTTATAATTCTTATAATTCTGTAAAAAATTGTAATTTAACTCACAAATTAAATAATAAAAATTATGAAAAAGATAAATTAGTTGATACTCATATGAATTTGAATTTCAAAAATGTTCCTATTTTAGGAAAAAATGATTTTTTTCAAAATACTTACAGTTTTTTAAATAATGTACAGCTTGCAAATAAATTAAGTAATTTCTGTTGTAAAATACAAAAAGAAGAAAACATTGAAAATAAAAATTATAAAGATAATATAACAAATTTCAATGAATATAAAAAAAATAATGACGAAAAAGATCATAACAATCAGTTAGAATATTACGAAAAAAAAAAAGAAGCAGATATAATAGTATGCAATCAAATTTCTTATTTTAATGAATATGTAAAGGATAAAGATAAAATATGTGATAAGTTATTAGATAAAAATATATTATTAAATGCTAATTCATGCTTTAAAGAAAATATTGATAAAAACAAAAATATCAACTGTTTCACCTCTGAAGAAAATTGTGGTGTAAAAAAAAAAATTTTTAAAAAAAGAAAAAGAAAAAATGAAGAATTATTATTAAATAGTAATAAATGCAACAAAATTCCTTCTCTTTACAATGAGGATATAAAAAATTTTAATGTAATTAATGAAGAAAATAAAAACATAAAAGGTGAAGAAAATCGTGATATTACAAATGAAATAAGTTATGTGAACAATGTTTTTAATGATAGTGGTAAGATAGACATAAAACTTAACTCTAATTATATTGATAACATAAATAGTGATAATGAAAATAAATATGATTATAATTTATTTAGTGAAAACAAAAAAAATAATTTACATTATTTTAATGATTTAAATACGAAAAAGGATAATAAAAAGTTAATGAAAAAAAATAAGATTGGTCGAAATAAAAACAATTATAATTTAAAAGTTTCAAATCTTTATATAAAAAATGAAAACGTAAGTAACAATTCAAAGGTTAGTATTAATTCTGATTCAATAAATTATGATAATGATAGTAGTAATAATTATATTACCAATATCAATAGTTGTGATAATGATAATGAAAATAATGATAATGATAATAATGAAAATAATAATAATAATAATAATAATATGGATAATAATAATGTAAATAATAATAATTATAATAATAATAATAATAATAACAATAATAATAATGATAATGATAATGATAATAATAATAATTATGATGATGATGATAATAATACTAATAATCATAATCATAATCATAATAATAATAATAATAATAATCATAATAATAATAATCATAATAATAATAATCATAATAATAATAATCATAATAATAATCATAATAATAATAATCATAATAATAATAATCATAATAATAATAATAATGATAATAATAACAATAATAATAATAATAATGATAATAATAACAATAATAATAACAGTAACAATAATAATAATGATGATGATGATGATGATGATGATGATAATAATAATGATAATAATAATGATGATAATAATAATAATATGAATAATAATAATGAAAATAATGAAAATAATAATAATAATATGAATAATAATAATGAAAATAATGATAATGGTAATAATAATAATGATAAGGATAATAATGAAAATAATAATAATAATATGGATAATAATAATGTAAATAATGATAATGGTAATAATGATGATTATGAATATGATAATAATAATAATAATAATGAAAATTTTAGTAGTAATATTACTAATAATAATGTTAGTAATGATAAAAATAGTAATAATATAAATAATAACAATGGGAAATATATAAAGAGACCTCAGAGGAATGCTGCTAAAAGGTGTATTAATTTATGGTCAGAAGAATTTAAAAAAAAAAGTGACAAAAATAACATTTTATATGATAAAATAAAACTTATGAATGATTCCAAAAAAGATGAAAAACCAATAAAAAAAAAGGAAAGAGAGAAAGAAAGGAAGGAAGCGAAAAATGAAGATATAGGAGATGAAGTAAAAAATGAAAATAATATAAATAATAATTTGAATTTCGAAAATATAAATATAAAAAATGTTGAAGAAAAGAGTGAAAATATGATAAATAATGAAATAAAATTGGATAATTTTAACATCAAACAATTAGGAAATATGGACACAAAAAAAAAAGAAAATCTTTTATTAAATGATCAAAATAAAATACCTATATTGTTTAATGAATCTATGGATGAAAGAGAAATGTTCAAATATTTAGATCTATTAAGACATTTACCAAGTAAAAAGGGAGGGGCACAATATAAGCTACATAAGGCTATTTTAACTGAAGAAATGGTTAAAAGAGCAAAGAAATTTCCATTAGTTCAAGGAGTATACTTTGATAGATATCAACAAAGATGGAGTGTTAATTGGAATGAAGATGGGAAAAGAGTAGCTAAATATTTTCCAATAAAATTATTCGGGTTTGATTATGCTCGTAGATTAGCTATATATTGCAAAAATTATCAGAAAATTCCTGAAGAGGCATTAATTTTTGAACAGGCTTATAGAGCTAATCAACAAAGTAACAAATTAAAAAATGAAAATAATCATAATGGTAATGGAAACAGTAAATTAAAAAAAGGAAGTAAAAAAAATTATAAAAAGAAAAATGGTAATAAGAATGTTTATGCAAATATTGAAAATTCAAGTAGTTATAAGAAGAAGAAAAATAATAATAATAATAATAATAATAATAATAATAATAATAATAATAATAATAATAATAATAATAATAATAATAATAATAATAATATAAAAGATAGAAAAAATTTTAAAATAGATGATATAAATATATCTTCACTAAATGATAATCCTGTATTAAACTCATATTTTATTTCCAATAATAATGGCAATATAATGAGTTCTTCATTTAATTATGGAAACATTAATAAATATGAAAATATCAATGATAAAAATAATTTTCAAAAAAGAATGGAAGAAATATTAGCAAATAAATTAAATACCTCCTCGTTACATAATTTACAAAATATAAATTCATCAACTGAAAATGATATTGAAAGTAAAAATAAACTACATATGTGTGATCCCAGTTTTGAAGAAAATTCTTTAGCTACTTTAAGAAATAGTGATAAAATGACTAAGAATCCTGATGATATAAATAAGAATATAGATATCCTTAATGTAAACGCAAAAATTATAGAAAAAGAAAACAACATGAATATTGATCAAATGAATGATATCAATGTTGATAAAACGAATAATGTAAATATTTTTAAAATAAAAAGTAAAAATATTGATATAGTAGATAGTAATGTAAGTATTAGTGATAAAAAAAGTGATAACTCAAATATTTATAAAATAAGCAACATTAATACAGATAAAAGTAATTATGTTGAAAATAATGAAACAAGTAATTTAGATTTAGAAAAAGCAAATGATGAAAATTTTCAAAAAGAAAATAATACAAATCATCTAAGTAAAAATATAGTAGAAAATTTAAAATCTATCAATTTAAATGAATATAATCCTAATGAAAAAAATGGCAAAAAAACTCATACTAAAAAAAGAAATTTTGTTTGTTCATCTACTGGAACTTCATCTTTTCAGTCTTCTTCTTCGTGCATATCTTCGACTTCTTCATCTTATAAAAATTTAGAAAATTCATATCCTAAATGCCCTCGTAATAAAGAAAATAGTATACATAACATTAGAGATTCTATAAAACATAAGAACATTATTAATACTAGTTGCAATGATATGAACATTTCTTCAAATCAATGTCTAAATAAAAATATGCCAGGATATCTTAATGGAGAAGTTAACAATATAAATTCCTTTATAAAAAAGGAAAATGATATTAATGAAAATATAATACAAAATACAGCATATAAAAGTTTCTCTCCTCAAAATAGTATCGGTAGGAATATAAATGACATTGTAGAGTCTTGTAAAATTAATGATGTAATTAATGTAAATAAATACAATGATACAAGAAATAGCACATGTAAATTTAATAATATAAGTAAAATGAACGACATGAATAATTTAAGTGATAACAATACTGTAAATGATACGAATAATAACACAAATGATAATATAAATAAAGATACACAAATTGATAATAGTGATGATATTAATTCAAGAATTGTTGGTGTACATTATGATAGAAAACAATATAGGTGGAAGGCAACATGGTATACCTCTCATGGAAGAAGATGTGCAAAATACTATCCAATAAAACAATATGGATATCTTGAAGCAAAAAAAATGGCTATAGAATGCAGAAAAGCATATAATTTATATAAGAAGTTAAAAAAAAATCCTCAAAATAAAGAAAATAATGATATAAATTTTAACAGTACAATATTTCCTAAAGAATATTATATAACATTATTTGAAAATGATGAAAAAAAAGATGGATATTATTGGGAAAATAAAAAAAATAAAAAAAATAATAAAAAAAATGTTTATTTAGATAATAATGAAAAACAGAAAAGACATTATAATGAAGCACTGAAGAAAATTAACAATACTAAGTGTAATGAACTTAATGAATTAAATGAATATATGAATAATAAAAGTGATATAAATTCCATTAATTTCATGTCATTTAATAATAATATGACGAACATAAATAACTTAAGTAATAATAATAATAATAATGAAAATGAAGAAAATATATCATCATCTAAATATGTTCTACCATTAAATTGTAAAAATTCATGTTGCAATAAGTTAAATAATGAAATGTATAATAACATATGTATTTCAAAAAATTCTTCATCTTTGTTATCTTTATATTATTTATCAGAAAATATTTTAAAATTTCAGAAGGGTACTATAAAATGTATACTACAAGATTTAAGAGATAACTGTTTGTCTAATTTAGCTTACGATTTAAAAAATATTACATTTCAAGAATATTATATGGCTATTCATTATTTAAATAGATACGTTGATGATTCAAATTGTTACGATGATATATTTTTTCTACTAAAAATTTTAGCAAAAAATTTAGAAATAAGAAAAATACCTAGTCTATATAATGAAGAAGAACAAAAAGAACTACTAAATTCCTTAACTATAATTACAAAACAAATGAAAAATAGTTATACTTACTTATCATCTAATAATATGAAAAATTCAAATGAAAATGAAAAAATTTCTCCAGTGATATTTCAACTATAATTATTAAGATTTTTTTTTTTTTTTTCTCTTTTTTTTTTTTTTTTTTTTTTTTTTTTTTTAATTTTTTTTTATACTTTTTTTTCGTAAAAAATTTGATTTTACTTATATGCTAAATTCATTTCATTTTTTATCCTATAAGTAGAATTCAATAACTCTTTTTTTAGAATAAATTTTACATTTTTACACAATTTTTTGTATTAAAAAAAAAAAAAATAATTTATTTTAAAATATATTTTCTAAATTTCTCCATTATTACTGCATATATATATATATATGTGTAAATTTTGTTTTCATCATAATATTACAGTTTTTTTATAATTACATCAAACATAATAAAGAAAAAAATATAACTTCGCTTTTAAAAGAATTTATAAACTTAAAATTTCTATTTTGTATATTTTCTATTAATGATGTAAATCCATTTTACAATGTACATTGTAAGGATAAATATTTTAAAATTTTATTTTATTTTTTTAAAATGCAGTAGGGAGAAAAGGCTATAAAGCTCCTTATAATATAGAATTAATTTTATACTGATTTAAATTTAACTATATATATTTGTATATACATAAATGGAAAAAAAAAAATTTTGTTTAAATATAAATGTCAAAATATTAATTTTTTAACTCGTTTTATTTTATCTTTCTCAATTTCTGGCAATATAAAATACATAAAAATCACATTCACTATATGGTAAAAATATTTACGTAAAATTTAAACAAAAAAAAAAAAAAAATATGAAATAAAATAAAAGAAAATAAAAGTATATTTTTTAAAACCGTATTTCTTTTTAAGAAAATATAAAAATGGAAAAATATGTAAATATAAAATAAAAAAAAAAAAAAAATTACAGAACTTTTTAAGTTCATAATTTGTGTCTAAGTTTATATATTTTTCTCTTAAGAACTAAACTATAAATTTAAAAGAGTTGACAAATGCAATAATATAAAACTAATATAATAATAGAAAATAACAAGCAGTATTTTTTTTTTTTTAAAAAAAAAAAAAAAAAATTCTATATATAAAGTAGATAAATATATAGATAGATAAAAATATAAATTTATATATGTGAACTTTCATCAAAATATTATTAATTAAAATATAAAATTCTCATTCATGAAAATGAAAAATAAATTTATACAAAATTTAAAAAAATCTATACAATTGCTTAAAAAAAAAAAAAAAATTAAAATGAAGAATCATATGATTTAGATAATATTAATTATGAATTCTTTAATTAAATATGGAAAAATATATACATAATTATAAATAGGTATATATTTTTCATTTATTTTGGCATTATTTATTTTTATTTTTATTTTTTTTTTTTTTTTGTTAATCATTACATTTTAATTTAGACAATGTCAAAAATTGTTTTAATTTTTTGTTTTAAATTATTTGATATATAATTTTTAAAATGTTAGAAAATTTTCTATTAATCTACTTCAAAAATTTTTAACTTTTTTTTTTTTTTTTTTTTTAATTTTAATTGTAATAACTTGCATTTGCTATAGCAATAGCTTGTTCTTCTGCTATATTTCTATTTTCAGCATAACCTGTAAATTTTTCATTTTTATGAGATAATAATTGATAAAATAACAAATAAGCATTTTTTGTATTAACTTGAGATTCATCAATATTTGTAACAAAGGTATCATTAAAATTATACCATTTATCTTTTAACTTGACATAAGCGTAATAATGTCCACCACATAATCCACCTGTATGACAATTAACTCCAATTAACTCATAAACAGGTAAATAATGAGGATCCAATTTTTTCATATGTTTTAAGCCATCTTCTAAAATATATGGAGACATATTTAAATATTCATTTTCTTTGTGTGGGTAGTAAACATAAGAATCTATCTTCGTTCTCAACCATCTATTTGTGTTATTAAATCTTTTCAAATGTAGTATTAATATAATAGGCATTCTAAATAAATCTAACTTCTTAAATGCCTGTACATGTAATTTACAATTGCTACAATACCATGTATTATTTTCATCTAAATGTTCCTCTTCAGAAAATAATTTCAGACATGTATCTATTCCATACTTTTCTTCTAAATCCATAAATGTTAATGTTTTGATATCTAATGATAATTCTGTTTCTATTGAATTACTATTTAGATATATTATTATAAGTCTTTTTTCTTCTGAATTTTTTATGTAATCAGATAAATAAGTACCATCTCTTTTTAATTCTAAACCTAAATTATCCTTAGGAGTATATTCCTCTTTTAAATTAAAGCAAGGTATATATAAAGTAAATTTATCTAAAAAATCATCGCAATCATTTAAATTATTTTTCATATTTATATCATTATCATCAGTGTTATTATTAGTAATATTCATATCATTACTATTATTATAATTGGAATTATTAAAATTGTCCTTTTTGTTACTTTCAATATGTTGTGCAGAATTTTTGTTTTTATGAAATAGTTTACTTAATTTATTTTGATTATCCAAATTTTTCATTTTATCTATATAGATATTCTTTTTATATGAACACTTTACTTTATTATACAAGTCAAGTATGGTGAAGTTAAAAGGAACATTAAATAAAAGTGGAAGATCATTATTTTTCATTTTATATAAAAGCTGTTCGTCTTTGCATATAGGTACAATTAGTAATGAAAAGTATTTATCATGGAAATTATTAAAGTCTTGATTAAAAAAAACTCTATCTTTTAGTAAATCATTATAAGAAATATGTTCACTATTTTTATTAATTTCATTTGAGTCATCTGTATCCTGTACATTTATTTCATTCTCATCTTCTGCATCATCATATTCTTCTACTTCCTCTTCTTGATGACACTTATTATCTCCTTTTTTTAAGGAATTGGATAAAATTCCTTTTCTTTTTTTTATTATCTTACTTGTACAAAGCTTACTTTTCGATGTTTTTTTATCATTAGTTTCGTTTTTCATATTTATTTCTTCATCTTTCAAACTAGTATTATTTGTGGTAACTGTTGAATTAGTAAGTACCTCTAAATTTTCATCTCTTTTTAACTCCATATTTTTATCAATTAAATGACCATATATTTTCGGTAAAATAAAAACAAATATATGACTAATTCCTTTTCCAGTTCTTGTATGAGGTTCCGTTACAAAATCGGTATTATTTAAAACTTGAAAAAAATTATTACAAGCTAAATTTTTCAATTTTGTATAAAGAAAAGAAAGGTTATTAATTTCTAACTCTTCAATAGAGGAGATATTACACATAGAACAAATACTTTCATGGATACTTTTTATATCTGTCTCTTTTAAAGTATTAGTTATCTTAGTTTTACTTTTTATAGCTTTAATGTAATTATTTATATCTACATTTTCTTCATTTTCTTCACAAAATTCGTTTTTATCATCTAAATATCTTGCATGAAAATTAAATGCATTTCCTTCGTGAGGATATTTATTATTTTTTATAATAGATTTACTGTGTAAAAGAATATTTTTTCTTTTATTTTTTAAATTCTTAATAATGTTTAAAAAAAATATTTTCAACTTTAATACCTCTTGTGACCCATTAAAAGAACAAGAAAATCTCAAACCAATAGGAATATCTCTATTAAGCATAACATGAAACCAAATTCTATGATTTTTTTTCGCTGGAAGAGGAATAGATAAATACATGAATGGGTCAAAGGTAATGCTAACTCTTTTACATTTAGGACATTGTAATCTTGATCTATATTGACCTTGAAATAAATCTACAATAATTGAATTATTAATTTCTTTGTGTCTATTCCAAGAAGCTTCAGCAACATCAATATCTAATTTATCTACACCACCTTGTAATTTTTCTTCATAATATGGTTTTTTTCTAATTAAATTTAAATCTTCATGTAATCCATCTAATAAAAAAGCCAATAATTCTTGAGAATCATGTTGTTGATATCCATAAAATTCATCTCTTTTTTCACTGATGGCTTGTTTTAATGCTTTTGGTGAATATGGTTCATCTCTCTTATTAATCATCCACATTTCTAGTAGGGTCTCATAATAAGCTTTAGCTAATCTACCGTGTTGTCCTACAGGATTAGAATAATTTATATGATTCCAAAAAGTTCCACTTAAAAAATAATTAGAAAATTTTAGAATTTTAGATAAACATTGTAAAGATGAATTTAAAAAACATGTATTTCCTAAATTTATGAGACCTCTATCTCCTCCTTTATCAAATATATATTGTATACTCTTCGTTTTTATTGAATCATCTTCATTTTCTACTTTTTTATTTACTTCTTTTCTATTATAATTATAATCACTTTTATTCATTAAGCATTTTATATCTGGTCTTTCACTACTAATTAATATACAACTTGTTTCATCTATATCATAATCATAAACTTTTTTATGCATAGAATATTCAGGATTATCATGAATGTATAAGCATTTCCAATTTTTTTCTTTTCTATTATTATAATCATCTGCATAAAATAAATTCTTCTTAAAATTATTTTTATCAAAACTTCCTAATATCTAATTGTAAACAATAAAAAATAAAATATAATAAATGAATGAAAGAACAAATAAATAAATAGTGAAATAATAATGAAGTAATAATACTAATAGATATATTTAAATACTTCAAAAAGAAAATATAATTATAAAATATACACAATAAATAATTATTATATTTCCAACATATAATTACATACACATTTGGTATATATTTAAGTAAATTTTAAATAATGCTATAATAATGGTGTGTATATATTTTAAAGGCAAAAAAATAAAAAATTACCTCTTTTAAAACATCTTCAATTGTATCATTTCTTAAAATTATTATTTTCATTTTAGATGGGTTAGAATATTCATTAGGGTTTTTTGAATAAACAACAATTTTTAGTGGTTGAATGTCCACTTTATAAATAAGTTTGTCTCTCCTACTAATTTTATAAGGATAAACTACTCTTGGAATTTTTACATTAAACTCAAAATGCTTTTCTAATATTTCTATAGCTTTTTCTGGATATAAAACAAAACTTATACCATTGCTATTTTCATATTCTTTTAATAATCTAGTTTTTGTAGTTACATTATTACAATCCTCTATAAATATTTTATTATTTATAACATTCGAATAACTATTAATTTTACCTGCTTCGTAATTTCGTAAGTTGTCAATGAATTCTTTATTAACAATATACCTTTAAATGAAAAAAAAAAAAAATAATAAAAGTATTAAAAATATATATATATATATATATATATATATATATATATATATATATATATATATCTTTTTCATATAAATAAGTATTACCATATTTCTTTTTCATTTTTAGGCTCAAATGGTAAATTATCAAAAATTTTAAATAAATTTAAAATTTGTATCTTATCAAGTAATACATTTTTGCTTTGTAAATTTGTATTAGATAAATCCATTTTATTTAGATATATTTAAAAAAAAAAAAAAAAAATAATAAAAAAAAAAAAAAAAAAAAAAAAAAATAAATAAATAAATAAAATTATATTGTAATTATTTTGTCATATTTCTAAATTAATTCTTTTTTATCCCTTCAATTTACTATGGATGCTATAGAAAAATATTTTTATTATTATTTTTTCTTTATTTTTTGTATTGTTAATAATTTTTCAATAGGTTTTTTTATTTTTTTTTATTTTATTTTTAGACAGAATAATATTACAATTAATATTCATTTAAAAAAAAAGAAAAAAAAAAAAAAGTTTAAATTATGCATAAATTAAAATAAATCATTACTTATATGTTAGTGTTATTGATTTTCATCTTAATTGTAAATTTTTTTTTTTTTTTTTAATATAATGAAATATACTTTATTATGTAAATAATAAGGTAATATGAAGGTAATGAATGTTAGAATACATGAGGAACATAATATAATGAAATTATAAATATGTTGTTTTTAAAATTTTCCATTTATTTTTATTTTAAGATTTCTATTATTTTATAAATAAAAAAATAATAATAATCAAATAATTTAAAAAAAAAAAAAAAAAAAAAATCAACATAAAATAAAAATTGTTTAAACAATTTTTTATATGAGTAATTTTAAAAAATTTTTATTTTTTATTTTTTTTTTTTTTTTTAGTAATTACCTACTTTTTTATAATGCAAGAACAAACTTCATATTATATGTTTCTTTTTAAATGCTCTCTTTAGTCTGAATTTTTAATTTTTTCTCATGCGTAAAATTTTATTGCACTACTTTATATTATTCTTCAATATTTAATTGTTTAATTAAAATTTAAATTTATCTTTTTTATTAAATTTCATTTACATTATTTAATTTTTATATTTTTGTATATGTATTGTTTCTATTTAGCTTACTAAAATTTTTGTAAATTTTTTCTTCATATTTTTTTTCTTTAATATCTTCACTGCTTAATAATTTTCATTTTTTTTTTAAGATTTTATCAGACATAAATTTTTTATTTTGTTATATTTTTTGTATTACAGGTAATTTTTATTATATATTTTTATTGTTTTTTTCTTTTTAATATATATATATATATATACATATATATATTTATTTATTTATTTATTAATTTATTTATTTGTTAAATTTATTTTATTTTTTTTTCATAAAACAAATATGGTTAAGATAAATAACTTTTTTTAAATAAAATTAACATATTTGTTAAACTTTTAGGAAAATTATTATAATTTATATATTAGGACTACAATATATTTGTAATATAGAGCTTTAATAAAATATGTAAAACTTTGACTTACCAATTTTTTATTTGTTTTGTTATTCTTTATTTTTTCTTTTATTTTTTTTTTTTTTAATTTATATTTTAAATATGTAAAATTATTTTTTATGAGATAAAATTTAATAAAAACTGAATAGAAAAAAAAAAAAAAATAAAATAAATCAAAAACAATATGGACAAAATGAAAAAAACAAAATTCCCCACTACAATAATTTTTTTTAATGAAAAAGTTATTTGATTTTAAGAAGATGCATTTTTTTCTTTGATTTTTCTAACGAAGTAATGTTTCTTAAGTTTTTGTGTGTATTCTTATTAACAATATATGTTGCTATTATAAAAATAAATACATCTTTATCATCAAATATAAGAAGAAAGTTATTTTTTAACTCATGTAAAAATTATAAACTTTCAAAAGGGAGTATTTTTAATTATAATTTTATTTTAAATAAGTTGTTAATAAAAAATGTAAAGAGTATACATAAAACGAAAATTAAGAATCCATTTTTGGATTCACATTTTCAGTATAATCCTAATATAAATGCCTTAGAAAATATAATAAATAATAGAAATAAAAAATTAAATTATATTCACTTATACAATGATTATAAGAATGGATGTATATTAAATAAGGTAAATAGAAATGTAAATCAAAAAATTTATACAAGGAAAGAAGATGAATATAAAAGAAAAAGTAATTTAAGTGAAAAATATGACTCAAATAACACTGAAAAAAAAAATAATATTATGAAAAAAGATATAAATAATAGATATATCAGCAAGAAGGAAGTAAATCGTGACAAATTATTAAATAGAATAAATGATTTAAAGATAAAAGATAATAAAACAAACGAAATAGAAAATAATTTGAAAAATGCAAATGATAATCAACAAAATATGGATTTAAAAATAAATTCAAAAGAAAAAATTAATAAAAATGTGAATCCAAGCCAATTAAACAATGCTAATAATAATGATAGAATCAAACCTTATAATTATAAATATAATTATACACACAATAATAATTATAATAACAATAACGACATCATTAAGTATACCAATGATAATAATGAAAATATGAAGAGTAACAAAGATATAAATAATGGAGAACATAATCCATCTAATACATATTATAAAAAGAATTCAAATAATAATATAAAATTAGATTCAATTTATACTAATAAAAATGAAATGAGTCTAAATAAAGTAAATAGAAATTTAATTAATAATGAAAATAACATAAAAGAGGAAACATTAAAAAATAAAAAGTTAAAAGATTTGAAGTTTGATGAAAATATGGGAAAGACATTTGAAGGATATGTTTACAATGTTAACAAAAATGTTGCTTGTATAAAAATATCAGATCTTAATAAATTTGGATTATTATTTAAAAATAAATCAAATCTTGGTGAAGATATAGATGATATGAATAATTTTTTCGAAGTAAATCAAAAAGTCTTTGTTAAAATTTTGGGTATAAATATAAGAAGCAAAATGTATTATTTAGGTAATATAATTAAATATAATGAAAATATAAAATTAAAAAGGGGAGAATGCTCAAAAGGATTAATAACAAAAATATGTGAATCCTACTGTTTTATTAAGATATTAAGAAATGGAAGTAGTGGTTATTTGCATAAATCAAAATTATTTGTATCCAATGTGAATAATAATTTAGAAAGTTTATCCAATTTAATAGGATCAAAAAAAGATAAAATAATTAATAACAAAAATAATTTAGTTAAATTTCATTTTACAAATATTTTTAAAATATGGGATATAATAGATGTACAAGTTTTGGGAGAATCTGATAACTCTTTTAAATCAAATTATGTTTTAACTATACCGAAAACATCAGAAACATTTAAAAAAATAATACATTCTTTAAATCTTGATGGTGAAAATAAAGAAAACCAATACAATGATAATAACAATAATAATTTAAAAGATGAAAATGAATTAAAGAATATAAACTCAATTTATAATGATAAAAAAAAAAGTACAAGAAAAAAAGATAAATTAATCGATCAAATAGAATACCAACATACAAAAAATCATAATTATCTAAAAAAAAATAGAGAACCATTTGATAAATTAAATAAAAACTCAAAACAGTATCAATTACCTGAAAATATTACCATATCCTTATTATCAAAAACAATTAAAATTTCTTTATCATCTATAAAAAAGTTTTTTGTAATCAATGAAAATAAAGAATTTAATTCAAATTTTAAGTTGAATAGTGAGCAAATAAAAAAGGTATGTGAATATTTTAATATTAATTGTAATATTCAAGATAAAAATAATTTTAGTGATATAAGAGATACCGTAGATCATAATTATAATGAAATAAATGCAATTCATGAAACTAACCAAAATTTTAAAGATAAGATATATATAAATCAAATTAATAAAAATGATATATACAAAAGTAAAATTGACAAAGATAAAAATGATAATATTATAATTGATGAAAAAGAAACTGATAAAAATGATAATGATTATATCATAATTAATAAAAATGTTAAAGATAAAATTGTAGATGATAAAAATATTGAAAATAAAATTATTATTGATAAAAAAGAGAAAGATAAAAATAGTGAAAATAAAATTATAGATGATAAAAAAGAGAAAGATAAAAATAGTGAAAATAAAATTATAGATGATAAAAAAGAGAAAGATAAAAAAATTAAAAATAAAATTATGGTTAATAAAAAAGAAAAGGATAAAAATATTGAAGACGAAATTTTGGTTAATAAAAAAGAGAGGAAAAAAAATATTGAAGAAAAAGTTATAAATGATGAAAAAGAGAATGATAAAAACATTAAAAATGAAATTATAGTTGACAGAAAAGAGAAAAATAAAAATAGTGAAAATAAAATTATAGTTGACAGAAAAGAGAAAAATAAAAATAGTGAAAATAAAATTATAGTTGATAAAAAAGAGAAGGATAACAATACTGAAGACGAAATTATGGAGAATAAAAAAGAGAAAGATCAAAATATTGAAGATAAAAAAGAAATTGATAATGGAAAAAAATGTGAAGTAAATGTTATCCATAAAAAATTAAAGAACAAAGAAAAAAAAAAAAATAATAATTTAACAGATATATTATCTAAAGATAATGATTTAAAAAAAGGTAATAAAGATAATTCATGTATTAAAAAAAGAAATGTAGTAGTTACGTTTATTGGGCACATTAACCATGGAAAAACATCCTTATTTGATTACATATGTAAAACAGATGAGAGAAATAAAGAATATGGATTAATTACACAAAATATAAGAGCATTTAAAGCTACAGTAAAAGATGAATACACTTTTACTTTTATTGATACTCCGGGTCATGAAGCATTCATGCCTATAAGAAGTAGAGGTGTAAAAATATCTGATTTAAGTATTTTAGTTATATCTGGTGAGGAAGGAATACAAGAACAAACCATCGAATGTATAAAATTAATAAAAGAATTTAATATAAAAATTATTATTGCTATTACAAAGGTTGATCTAACAAATGTATATGTTGATAGGATTATAGATGATTTGCTGTATTATGGAATTTCAACTGAATTAAATGGAGGGGAAATTCAAGTAATTGAATGTTCAATATTCAAAGATGAATCAATAAATAAATTATTAGATGCTATTTCTTTAGAATCTGAATTTATTAATTTAGATATAAATAATAATGAACAAGCTAGTGGAGTAATTTTAGATTCATACATTGATAAAACTGGTATAGTATCAGTAAATTTATTACAAAGTGGAACATTAAAAGTAAATGACTATTTTTATACAGGTTTTTCTTATGGGAAAATTAAAGTCTTAAAAGACCATTTAAATAGAAATATTAAATGTGCATATTCATCAGATCCTATAAAAGTTATCGGATATAATAAGAATTCGTTACCCAAAGCTGGAGATAAATTTTTCGTTGTTGAAAATGAATCCATAGCTAGAGAAATTGCAGAACATAACAAAAATGAAATGTTATCTATTGAAATGAATAATTTTAATTATGGAGGAGAAAACTTAGACATTTACGAAAATTTTATTTTACCTAATGAAAATAAAAGTAATACCACAATATTATTAGATGAAAATAAAAGTAATGAACAGAATGATATAACAGCTAAAAATATAAATAATAATGTTAATAGTAATATAAATGAAAAAAATACTATTTTAAATTCTGAAAGAGATAATTCAAATAAAGATGAACATAAATTAAATAACATCAGTTCCATTTATACAAATTCATTAACAAGTTGCATCTTAAACGATAATGATAAATCGTTATATAAAAGCAATTTAAAAAATATATACGTAAATTATTTTATTAAATGTGATAAACAAGGAACTATCGATGTTTTAAAAAACTCAATTTTAAAATTGGAAAAAGAAGACTCAATTTATAAAGTAAAGAATAAAATTGTATATGCAAATATTGGAGATATTTCATCCAGTGATATAAATTATGCAGTAAGCTTTAATGCGATTATAATTGGTTTCAATGTTAAAATTTCAAAAAACATAGGAAAAAATTTCAAAAAACCTCCATGTAAAATTCTTTTTTCTAATGTTTTATATGAATTAATTGAAAAAATAGAAGAGGAAATGAAAAATAGATTAAGCGTTAAACCAAACGGGAATTTAGTTGGAGAAGCTAAAATATTAAAAGTATTCAACATATCTAAATTAGGTAAAGTAGCAGGCTGTGTTGTTACTAGCGGTTATATTAATAATAATAGTAATGTAAGAATTTTAAGGAATGATAAAGTAATATATATGGGAAAACTGATTTCCCTTAAAATTATTAAAGAAGAAAAAACTCAAGTAGTGAAAAATGATGAATGTGGAATGGGATTTGAAAATTTTGTAGATTTTTTACCTGATGATATAATTGAATCTTATGAAGAATAAAACATTTTATTATATATAAATAAATTTAATATATTAATGACTTTTCATAGTATATTTATGTATATATAATAAAGAAATAAGAAAATTATATTTTTCTCCATTTAAAAAATATATTAATTTTGTTATTATGTATATGTATTTTTTTAAAATTACATTGTTAATGAATTCATATTTTTAAAACATATATTAAAATTACTGATATATTTTTTTTACCTTTATAAATTTCTTTTTAATTTATTAATGTTTTATATTTTTAAAATTATATTACTTAATAATATTTTTTATTGTTTTATTTGTATATTTTATAAGTTTTTTAATTAGCATTTTATTGTGTGTAATCTGATACGCATTTATAATATATTTTTTATATATGTAAATATTTATTATTAAAATAATAGTATTTTTTTTTTTTTTTTTTTTAAAAACATTATATATTTTTTTTTTTAAAAAAAAAAAAAAAAAAAAAAAAACAGTTTATTTTATATTATTAAAAAAATTTATTAAAAAATTTTTCGGTCATTTTTTTATGAAAACATTTCTTTTTCCATTTTATATTTTTATATATATACTAAAAATTTTTTTCTTCATACATATATTAAAAAAAAAAAAAAAACATGAGAAAAAACAAAGAACAAAAAGAAATACTAGCATAAATAGCCAAATAGAACAAAATAGATAGAAATTCATTTTTTCTATATTAATAAATATTTAAAAAAAAAAAAGAAAAAATCGCTTTATATTATTATTATATATTTCTTATCCCTATAAATTTCCAGTATTATAAAACTAACTTAATACTGGAAAACATTGTTTCAATGCTATCGTTATCATCTTTAAAAATTTGGAATGTTGATTTGTCAAGAATAAAAATATATATAGTTAAGACTAAACATATGAAAGCACAGAGTAACCTATTTAAAAAAAAAAAAAAAATCATATAAAATAATAATAAAGGTAAAAAAAAATATAATATTAAAAATATTCTTTATTTTTATATATTCTTATTGCATTTATTAACCAATACAATCCTAAGCCTAATGCAATATACGACTTGAAAGCTAGATATGGTGCTACTATAGTAATAGCATAAAAAATTGAAGTATTTAAACCAATAATTGATCCAAGTTCTGATTCATCTACTCTCTTTGTCATTTGACTAGTCCCACATATATATAATAATGCACCTCCACATAATGGTATTGACATAAATATAATTACAAGTGCTTCATGTGCTCCGCATAATGATAAAATTAAAAATCCTGCAAGTGTTAATGGTATTGAAAATTTGCAACAAATTATATCTCCTAATATTGAACTTAAATAAGGAGCAAAAACTCCCTCTGCTATAATTGTTAAAATACCAGCATATGTCATTAAATAAGAAGTATGAGACGGTGTTAATTTAAACATATCAACAACAACTGGTGCAAAAGCAAATTTAGTCATTAATATAGGTAGTAAACCAAAAATAATTAATAAACAAATTCCGTAAGTTTTTTTAAATAAATTTAGTACTCTTCCAAATTCATTTTTAATGCTTTTAAAAAAATTATTAATTTTTATTTCTTCTGTGTTATCACTCTTTAATAATTTAGGATCCTCTTGTAAACTTTTTGATACATACAATGCTAATATTTGTGAAATTAAAGCAATAAGTAAATTCCCTCTTGCCCCCAAAAAATTAACCATAATACCAGCTAGAAAACTACCAAAGATTATACCCAATCCATAACTTAAATTTAAATATCCAATTGCTGCTGTTCTTTTATCATCATCTGTTTTTAAACATACTAACATGGATGATGCTTGAAATGTTTGCATAAAAAACGATGGCAAAAAACTAATATAATATGTCCATGTAGATTCACATACCATTAACTATATACATATTAAAATAATAAAAAAGAAAATATATATATATGAATCAAATTCATTATACAAAAATTATTAAAAATATAAAAATTTTATATTTTATAACCAATAGATACATTAAACTTGAGGAAGACAAAGATAAATAAAACGATTTTTTAACTCCCCAACTGTATATAGTAAAGATAAAAAGAAAGTTAGAAATTATATATTTCTTTTTTTTTTTTTTTTTTTTTTTTTTCCTTTAACATGTCTGCTAATCTTCCAAAAAAAATGGAACCAATAAATTGCAAAAATGAAAACAGGGTTAATAAGTAACCATTGTGTTCAATTCCTGCATTTGAGCTAATTAACTTAACAAAAAAGAATTACATATATATTTTTTTTTTTTTTTTTTTATACTTCAAAAAAAAAATATATACGATAATATATATACCAAATATGGTAGCATTGCAATTTGTATGGTATAACCTATTCCATATAGCGAATTTATCAAATGAGCTTTACCTAGATAATATAAAAAATTTGAATATATAGATTCATATGTATTCTGTTTGCATAATGCAATATTATTTTCAGTCCTTCAGAATATAAAAAATATAGAAATATAAGGAAATATTTAGTGAACTATTTAATTTTTATAAGATAAAAAAATAACAGAAATTAATAGTTAATATTACATATATGGTCACAAATACTGTTAATATAAATTTATAAAGACATTGAAAAAATAATTGAATATTTTTTTTTTTTTTTTCTTCTTTATATAAGTTATTTTTATTTACCAATTGATGAAACAAAAAATTTTCTAGTTCTTGGAAGAACCTCAGATGTGTTATCCACAAGGTTTTTGTTTTTTTCTAACAAACTTGATGTAACTTCCATTTTCACTTTTCTTTTTTTCCTTTTTTTTTTTTATATACTAATATAAATTAATAATATTGACTTAAAAACAAAAAAAGATAAAACTTGATATTCTTAACAATTTTGACAAAATAAAAAAATTTATGGTAATTATAATCAAAAAGTATAGAAAGCAATAATTTTTATTTATGCTTAATGAAAATTAAAAATACAAAATATATATCTTTACAATTTAAAGTTGTAGTAAGTTGAAACTCGTAAAATCCTTTTAAAATGAACGTGAAAAAGTGTACATACTGTAAACCTTTTTTATAGGTTCAATTTGATTCATTTTTTTTTTTTTTTTTTTTTTTTTTTTTTTTCTAAGTATTTGAATTTCCTATTTTCATGATGTATTTTTGCAAATATTTCTTTAAAATTTTATTATTGAATTTCATAACTTTTTATTTTCCACAGAAATATGAAAAATAAAAAGAATAAAAGTTCTATGAATTTATACTTTTATATATTCATGTGTTTTTATTTTTATAAATTTACACACTTTCATAGGAACAAAACTGAATAAATGAAAAAAAATTAAGTAGTTTCATTTAATAATTTCATTAATGAAAGAAATGGAACAAAATCCTTTCGTTTTTAAGTACAAAAGTTTCATTTTATTTCACTTTTTTATTTTCATTTTATTTTATGCTTCTTAATTTTGTCTGATTGTGTTCTTATATTCATATAATTGTAAAAAGTCCTTGTTTTGAAATTTTAATCCACAATACGAAAAGAAAAATAAAAAAAAAATAAAAATACATATTTACATAATTTTAACTAATTAAAAAAAAAATTTTTTTTTTTATAATATGTTAGAACTCACACTGTAATTAAAACAAAAAAAAGCTTTTTAATTTCCTGATTACTTAAAAAATCTGTCCATTTTTAATTGCATTTAAAAAAATAAATTGTTATTAAGAAAAGAATATTTCATTTTTATTTTTTATTTTTATATGAATAAATATATAAATATATAATTATATATATATATATTTTTTCTCCTTTTTTTTATAATATATATTTCTCTTTTTTTTATAATAATTTTCATCATTTTATATATACAATTTTAAATCTATTTTTTTTTTTTTTTTTTTAATTCTTTTACTTATATTTAAATAAAAGTTCAATTTTCTTTGAATTATTTTTTTTTTTTTAATATGTTTATTTAAATAAATTTTGAATTTGTGTTAATTGGAATATTGACTATTATATATCAATTTCTAAATTTTAATTTAGTTCCTTAAAATTTTTTTTATATAGTTTTTCATCCCTTTCTAATTTTAAAATGTCAACAACTAATCCAACAAATGAAACAACGGAATGGGATGATTTACAAAGAAAATTTGGTAATTTACCACCATTAGAAAAAGAAATAAAAGAAGAAGAAATTTATTTACAAAATATTGACAAAATTGAAAATGAAAATGTTTTAGAAAAGAAAAATTTGAAGGAATTAAATTTAATGGAAGAAAATTGCGTAGATGAAGAATATTTAAAAATCATTGAAAAATATAAAAATGATAGAATAAACCAAATAAATAGAAATAGAGCGTTAGATATTTATGGAGATATTTACGAAATATCAAAAGATAATTTTATCACTGAAATTAATGAAGCAAGTAAGAAAAATCCATTAAATGAATATTTAGAAAAATCTGTCGATGATAAAGATGAAGAAGAAATAAAAAGAAAACATAAAAACATAAAAGGAACTTACGTTGTTATACATTTGTATTCAGATAATGTAGTAGCATGTAAAGTTTTAAATGAAATTTTAAAACATGTAGCCAATAAGCATAAATACATAAAATTTACAAAAGGTGTATATAATAGAATTATAGAAAATTATCCAGAATTTAAATTACCAACTATTTTAATTTATTATAATGGTACTTGTATTCATCAAATTTGTAATTTATTAAATCATATAAAAGGAGGACTTAATAATTTAAATATAAAATCATTTGAACAATTTTTAAACAAATATAAGATTTTAAAATATAAGAATTATGTTGATTCTGATATAAGTGATAATGATAATGATGAAGACTATAAAAATAAAAATAGAGTTAAAACAGAAAAGCAATATGCATCATTTAATATGTTTAATACCAAATATAAAAATAATGATGATGAAGATGATGAATCTTCATCTGAAGAAAAAGAAATGAGATCAAGAGGATATGCTTCTTCTTACTTAGATAGCAAAATTAGACTAAATAAATTCTAAAAAAAATGTAAGAAAAAAAAAAAAAAAAAAAAAAAAAAAATTAAATAAAGAAAATAAAGAAAATATTTAAATTAAAAAAATAAATACATATTTCTTATTTCAAGAAAAAATGTATTTATAATATTACTAAAAACAAACAAATCCACTATATTCATATATTCCCATATGAATAAAATTATATATATATATATATATATATCTGAATTATTAATTTATATGGAATAGCACAAATAAATTACACAATTATAAACAAATATATCTCAATATATTATTAAAATAATTTTTTTTTAAAGAAAATTTAAAATGACAACAATTAATAAGATAAATTAATAATTTTAAATACTTAAAAATCAAATATGTTATTAATATAACGATCTATATTTTAATTATTTTGTAATACTGAATTAATTAAGTTATGAATAGAAGGATTAAATAAAATTTTTTTTAAACAAAGCCCTTGTGAAGGGGCACATAATTTTACTTTAAGTGGTTTCGATAAATATAAAGCATCTTTTACGTCTTCAATTTTTAGGAGTCCAACACCAATTTGAATAAGAGTGCCTATTATTATTCTAATCATGTGATATAAAAACCTATCTCCTTGAATAACAAATTGATATAAATTATTCTTTAATTCATATACATCTAAAAAATGAATATTACAAAATGTATTAATTTTTCGTAACTTTTCTGTTCCTTTTAATGTTCCTCTGAAACATTCAAAATTATGATAACCTATAAACAATTTAGAACATTCTTTAATTTTTTCTAAATTACATGATATTACAGGTCTAATTTCTTTTTTGTTATTTATTATACTTATACTATGGGTTATATCATAACTATTTTTTAAACTATTCCCCATTATATTATCTTTATTTGATTCTTTCACAATATTATTCTCATTTATAATATTATTGTTATATGTTCCTTCTGATAATGAATCTAAACTACCTTCAATTTCTTCGTTTTCTTTTATATTTTTTATTGAATCATAATTGCTCTTCTCAATAGAATTAATTATTTCCTCATCTTCATTTGAATCATTAAATTTTTCATCAAAAAGAAAATTTAAATTCTCTTCGTGATATTTTTTAAAACATAAATTATTTTCTTTATTATCGTAGTTAATTTTCTTAGTATAATCATTTAAGCTAGTATCTTCAATTTTCTTTTTTTCTTTTTTTAACAAAAATGAAAATCTTGGATCATCATAAAGTTGCCATGCATAATTTCTCTCAAAAGGCTGACTAGGTATTCTAATATCAACATTATAAGTATATATTTTTCCTATATTATGATATCTAACGTTAAAATTATCAAATGGTGAATTTAAAACACCTAAAATTTTGATATCTTTATTTAATAAACTATTTAATGATCTTTTTATTTGATTCAAGTTTCCATTGCAAGGAGGTTTTCTCTCATATGATATATATTGACAAACATATTCTTTTGCATGTACCCCTTTATCTGTTCTACTTACCCCTATAAAATCAAAAGGTTTTAAATTTTGAGAACTATCTAAATTTTCCATATTTCCATACCCATGTATCTTTAATATGCAATTTAATATTGTATTTTGCACTGTAGTATATTTATTTTCGTTTTTTTCATTGTGAATCTTTTTATTTTTATAATTTTTTGTTGCATTTAAATATACTTCACTACTGTTTTCCAAACCCGTCCAACCATTATAATATGTGCCATCATAATCAATAATTAATATTAAATTTGTTAATTTTTCACGATTTATTATAACCTTTTCTTTTAATTCATTTAACTCACTATTGTTTACCATATTTTTTTTAATCACTCTTATTTTATCTAACTTTGATCTTAAAAAATTTATTCTATCTAATTTTAAATGTCTATTTTTCACTATTTGTTTTTTAGTTTTTTTATATATTCTTTTTGTATATATTGTGAATTTTATAAAGAAGCTCATATAAAATAAAAAAAATATATTCATATTCAATTTTAATGTAATTTTTATTATTACACTTTAAATAAAGGAAAAATATATAAATATATATATATATATATATATATATATAAATATATATATATATATATATACATATATACATATATATATATTTGAGTTAACAATAATAACAAAGAATTCAAATATATATATATTTATACCAATTGATAATGGTACGTATATATAAAGAAAAATTGGAACAAAAATATATGCACAACATACAAGAACATCTCATAATTTTAAAAATTTTTTCTTAATTGTCTTACGTTATATAATTATTTTCTCTCAATTTAAGAATTAAATAATAAAATTAAGATAATTCTGAACTTTTCCTCATTACAATTCCTATATTTCAAATACATATAGAACATACATTTTTTTATATTTTGTAAAATTTATATAAGGATATAAAGAAAAAAGTAATTTTTCACAAACATAATATTTTTTATATTCTTTTATAATTAAAAATTTTTTTTAAAATTATAAAGTTTCGTATTAATATCCAATCATCACGAGTTTATTTAAAATATTAAAATAGATAAGGAATTTCTATTTTTTAAAATCTAAATGTTAAAAATTTTTATAATCCTTTATAAATATATAATCTCATAAAATCATTATTATAAATTGAAATATTACCGAAAGAATAAAATAAAATAAGTAAATAATAAAAAATTAAGTAATGATGGTTTTTTTAAAATTCTCATTATAGAGAAATAAAAAATTATTTAAGAAAAAAATGATTTAGTTTTATTTTCTACATTGTAAAATTTTTTGTATTTTGATATAAAATTACTAGGATAAATTTGGCAACTAAAAAATGTTCTAATTTTAAAAAAATATTATATATTATGTAACATAGGGAAATAATAAAAGAATAAAAAAAAAAAAAAGAAAAAAGTATTACTTTATAAAATCTATACAATATAATTACTTAAAAATGAAAAAAAAAAAAAAAAAGATAAACTATTATTAATTAATATAAATATTAATTTTTTTAATAAATCTTATATTAAAAAAAAATGTAATAAAGAATGCAAAGTGATTAAAGAGGTTTTATGAAATATATAAATTATTATTTAAAGATTTATATTATCTTACCTTTTAAAAAAAAAATTAGTTTTTATAACTTTTAATGATATTATTTCATTAAATTAATTGTACAATTAAAATAAATAAAAAAATATTTTTTTTTTTTATTAACAAATATACAAATTCAAATTTACATGTATATTATACTTACGTATCTTTATTTTTTTCACTTCATATATTATATTTTTATAAAATTTATAGTTTTTTTTTTTTTTTTTTTTTCATATGAGCATAAAAAAAAAATAAAAAAAAAAAATTCCTGTTATTTTTTTTTTATTTTATGAAGAGAAATATGAAATTTAAAAATATAAAGGAAAAAAAAAAGTATGGATAGAATCAAGAAAATTATATAAATTAAAATATTGAATGAAAATTTTGTTAAAATTTTTTTTTACATAGAAATTATTTAAAAAAATAAAATAAAAATAAAAAAAAAATATTATAAATTTAAAAATCAAATTGTATATATAAATTATATATATATATAAATTTAGAAAGAAAAAAAGTAGTTTTAAATAATTGATTAAAATGGCAACAAAAAAAGTTAAAACACCTCAACCAGAAACAGCTGTAGTTTCAGGACCTCAAGCAAAAGAAGGAGAATTAGTTTTTGGAGTAGCTCATATTTTTGCATCCTTTAATGATACATTTATACACGTAACTGATTTAAGTGGAAGAGAAACATTAGTCAGAATTACAGGTTAAAATATTTTTTTAGTTTTTAAGTGAAAATTAACGAGAAATATATATATTGTGCAGTTTATTTTTAATAGTTAAAATTTTGCTTTTCAGAAAATAATTTATATATTTATATGTATATATATATATATATATAAAGGAATCTATATAGAATAAACTTCATAATTAAGTTCTATTTCAATTTTTTGTATATTTATAGAAAACTTCTATATAGAATATGAAGTATTGTGAATTATATAATACATAAAATATAAAATTTAAAAAAAAAAAAATGAAATATAAAATAATATATAATATGAAAAAATATTAATATTAAAAAAATACATAAGGAAATATCTTAAGAAAATTGAAAACAAAAAATATAACATTTATATATACATATTTATTTGTACCTATATATTTTACATTTGTTTTACCCTTTTAAAATTATTCACATATTAATATTTGTTTCTCAATTTTTAACAATAATATCATTTTCTAATCATTTTTTATTTTTATATAGGGGGTATGAAAGTTAAAGCAGATAGAGATGAATCAAGTCCATATGCTGCTATGATGGCTGCACAAGATGTAGCTGCACGATTAAAGGAATTAGGAGTTACAGCTATTCATATTAAATTGAGAGCATCTGGTGGTACAAAATCAAAAACACCTGGTCCAGGAGCACAATCAGCTTTAAGGTAAAAATATATTTTATATATATATATATATATGATCGTATTCTTATAATTTTGAATTTTTGTTATTCTCATTTTTTATTTTTTTTTTTTTTTTTCATACGCAGAGCATTAGCTCGTTCTGGATTAAAAATAGGAAGAATTGAAGATGTCACACCAATCCCAACAGACTCAACAAGAAAGAAGTCAGGAAGAAGAGGAAGACGTTTGTAAAATGTATTTATATATCTTTATATAAGGAAAAACAAAATAATTTTTTTATATTCCTATTTATTTTAGTTCATATATATATATATATATAGATATATTTGTTTTCACAAATTAAATATTATTACAAATTTATAAAGTATTACTGATAATAAAGGTGAACATTTTTATTTAGTTATGAATTACAATTTTTATATTTCCCAAAAAAAATAAATTTAATACTAAAAATTTGAAATTTTATTAACAAATTTTTTTTTTTTTTTTTTTTTTTTTTTTTTTTTTTTCTTTTTATATATAAACTGTTGTAACTATCTATTTATTTCCATTTTAAAAAATTTAAAAAAAAATATAATATTTTAAACAAACTTTATTTTTTTATCTAACCTAGATACTTAGTGTATGTTGTCTTTTTCCTTCCATTTATAAATGTATATGCAAAAAAACAAACAGAAAAAAAAAATATTTTAAATTTCATATTAGTACAAAAAACAAAAAACAAAAATATTAATGGTATACTTATAATTGAAGTAGCATTTAAATAATATTCCTTAAAAAAATAAAATCATGCAACATATTTGAATATTTTAATATAATTAGTTTTGATAAAATAAAAGAGGGATTATACTTCTTTTTAATTAAGCAAACGATTTTTTTTTTAATCAATTAAATAATAGTATGGTATTTAATATTTGCAAACATTATATAAAAATATAATTGTGTATTATTATGATAAAACAATATAACAAATCAATAATATTTCATAAAATTAAAAAATAAATTATTATTCATGAAAAAAAATAATATTGAAAACATATATAAAATAGCATTATTTTAAATATTTTAGACGGTAATGTAATTAGAATAAAAAATGATATTTCTATACTATTGCTATATAATAATTTAATTACAAAAAAATTTTAATTTTATAAAAATTTTTATTTTTACGAAATGAAGACATAAAATAATAAACTTTTTTTTGAAATGTAAAAATCAGAATAAGCATTATAAGTGAGTAACAAAAACTTTTGTATCTATCTCAGATGGAACAGGAAAAATGTTTATGTGATTTTGTTTATAATTTTTTTTCATTTCTTTTTTTTCTAAATATCTAATAAAATATTTTTCAAAATAGTATGTGCATATAAAATTGATTATTAAAATAAGTGATATATAAAATCTGAAATAAATAGGAAAACTAACCAAATTTAAATATTTTTTCAAAAAATGCACTAAGGGACCTAATAAAAAAGTATCTGATGAAAAAATTGTAATAAAGATGTTAATTAAAATTAATATCAAAATCCAAGACATATAAACTGCATTTGTTATGACACCTATATAAAAAAAAAAAAAATAAATAAAATATAAGATGTAGATAAAAATATTCTTTTACAATAATATATTTTGTTATTATTTTAAAAAAAGCGTATATAACTTATAAAAATATATGTGTCTAAGGTAGCACATGCATCCAAAAAAATTAGAAAAGTTTATGAGGTAAAAATTAAAAAAATGTAAATGGTTATAAAATCTTACTTTTCCTCCATTCCGTTTTTATATTTAAAGATATGCAAATAAATAAAATCTGGAAAGATGATATAATGAATATTAAAGTATTTTTTGAACAAATAAGTTTTTTGTTTGCTGCATCTCCAAGAGGAAATAAATTGGTATCATTTTTATAAAAAGGTTGATAAAATAATAAAAACAAACTAATAAATATAAAAAACAGTTGAATAATAATTTGTCCATATATACTAAAGAGAACAGGAAAACAAAATAGCTTCCCTAAAGGCAAATTACTAGATAATTTTTCGCTAGCCGAAGTCCAACTCATAAAAATGGAAAGAGGTAATATGGTAAATATATCAGTAAAAATAAATTGGTTGTCTGTTAAATTATTAGAGAAAGCATATAAAATAAGAACAACTGAGCATTGCATAACTGAATATAAAGAAATAAATTTAAATAGTTGGAATGAATTAACCAAAGCTGCTCTTCCTTCAACTAAAATGTTAATTACACTATTTAAATAAAAATTATCAGATGTAAAAGGAGCACATATAGAAGACTCGTTATGACTCAATGAAATTCCAATGTCGGCACAATTTAAAGCACCACAATCATTTGATCCATCTCCACACATTCCAACAAAAGGCATATGTGGTAAATTTTTTAAACTTAAAATTAGTTGTGTTTTGTATTCTGGTTTCATTCGAGCATAAACAGTACATACTCGTAAGATATATTCATATATTGACAATTTTATATTTTTAATATGTGAATACCTATAACATGTATCTTTTTTGCATTCATGATATAATGACTGTTTTAAGAAACATAAGTAATTATTCATTAGAAGATTATTTTTATTTATATGCATATTTTTCTTATTAATTACTTTATTTTTTTTTTTTTTCGTTAAATATGTATATTTAAAATACGAACTATTTTTGAAGTTAGTTTTACTTTTATAAAAGTTTGATTTTAAATATATATTATTTTTCATATTTTCATTGTTCTCTATAAATTTTTGATCTTCATCCAATAAGTATGCATCATTTTCTTTTTTACTATTCTCATTTTTATTAGATTTTAAAATACTATTAAATTCTTTATGAGGAATTTTTTCTTCAAGGAATCTTGGACTTAATGAAAATTTCTGTGAATTATTATAATTGCACAAATAATCTTCCTTTAATTTTTTATATTTCCTATTTGAACAAAAATATAAATCTTTAAAATTAGTCCTGTTCTGAAATTTTCTGTTCTCTTTTCTTTTTATTATTCCCATTTTGCTATTAATGTTAAATAATTTATTTTTAAAAAATGTAAATTTTTCTTTTTTTTTTTCTTTATCTTTCTTTCTGCAGGTTTTACTGTAAATGTCTATCGTGAAATGACTTTCAGGAATACTATCTAAATTATATGACTTATAATTTGCTTTATTAAAAGATGAGATTTCTAATAAATTATTACGTTTTAACTCCCCAAGTTTTTTAATTTTTTTTTTTTTTCTCATGTTAACAAAGTAATCAATGAAACGAAAAACTAATCTGAAAAAAGAATTTTCCTTAGGTTGCAAAAAATAATTTACCTTATAAATATTTTTTTCTTTTATAATACAGAGTGAAAGAAGAGGTTTGGGATAGGATAATACCTTTTTTGTTAAAACCTCAAATCGGTTTATTTTTCTCTTTTTTAAACTTTTTATATTGTTTAAAGAATTCACTCTTAAACTCTTGCTCAAAACTTCCTTTTGGTCTGAATCCTCTTTAATTAATAAAGCATCCATTATTTTTCTTTTTTGTGTAATTTTAATATAGTTTTTTATATTAAGGAAATTATTTTTCTTTTTATTTTTTAAAATTTCTAAATTGTCATGCTTATTTTCTTCCTTATTTTTAATATGATTTAAACATACTAAGCTGTTTTCGTCATCATTGTTTGTATTCGATAAATAAATTAAATTTGTTTCCTTCGAACATTGTTCGTATATTAAGGTATTTTTATTTTTCTTTTTAATATAACTTTTGTTATTTTCTATTAGTCTTTTTTTTAAAATACCCTTGCTTAAATTTTCAAATAACTTACTTTGAATCTTGTAAAATAATTTATTATAACAAAAATTTTTATTATGTATTTTTTCTATATATTTTGGAATAATTTTGGAATTATAATATAGCTTATTTTTTTTTTTCTTTGAATTATTTTTCATTATGTTATATGTTATCTTTTCACACTCATCATAAAATGGCAAATCTAAACATTCAAATTCTTTTTTTAAAAATATAAAAGCTTCCCCAGATAAAACAATACCTATGCTTCTAGGATCTCTATGAATTAATATTTCACATAAATCATCAAAAACCAACTTTGAATTATGTGAATGTCTTTCTATTTTTTTTTTTCCTTGCTTTTTTAAATTCTTATTTTTATTACTATAATAGCATTTATTATTGTTTTTCATAATACCTTCATCGCATATATACATATCTTTATTTTTATATAATTCATTAGGATTTTCATTAAATTCAAAAGCTATATAGTCTGTATGGTTTTCTCTTTCATTTCCCAAAACATCTTTTTTATTATTACTATTATTATTATCAATACCTTTATCATTAATTATTTTTTTTTTATTCTCTAAGTTTATATTTTCATTTTTAAAAATGTTATCATTTTTATCAACATACCAAACTATTTTTTTTTTTTTTTTAACAGTTCTAACATCCCCTATAATTATAGATTCAATATTTTCATTTATTATCCCACACTGTTTTGCAACAGAAATAGAAGTTAAAATATTATCCCCTGTAGACATAATGCAATGACATCCAGAACTTTTTAAATTATTTATAATATCATATGCGCTATTTTTCAATTTATTTGCGAATATTAGAAACCCTAAAAATGATAAATTTTTTTCTAAACTATTTCTTGTAATATTTAAAATATTATGATTATATGAATCCAACTCTTTGTAAGACAAGCTTATTATTCTCATACCTAATTTTGCATATTTTTGTAATATATCATCATAATCATCTGGAATTTTATTTTTTAAACATAATTCTTTAATTTTTTCTGGACTCCCTTTACAAAATAAATAATGCTTTTCATTTTCAACATTTTTCACAATCACACTCATTCTTTGAAGATTACTATTAAACTCAAATTTCTTTAAAATATAATAAATAGGTTTATTATAATAGTTTTCTTCATGTGAAGAAAAAAAATTGCTATTTAAATTTTTTGATTCTTTTATGACAACATTGTCTTCACCTATCTCAATATTACAATTAGTAGATTGAAACATTAAAATTTCCAAAACGTCTCCTATCAACTCATTATTTATTTTTGTTAAAGAGTGACAACATGCCAAAGCATCAAGAAATGTTGAATAGTTCATTTTCATAATTTTATTAAAGTTGTCTTTTTTATTCAAATTATAACCATAAAAACTATTGTTGCAGTTATTATAACTATTTAAATTGTTGTAATTTTCATCATTATAGCAATTATTAAAGTTGTAATGATTATTACAATTTTCATAATTATTTAAATAATTGTTATTTGCGGCATTACAGTCACCAAAAATAATTTTTTTATTGTTGATTTCTTCATCAAAATTATGATATTCACATTGATCAATATTATAATTAGACCCTAATAAGCTAAGTTCCCTACTGTCATTAGTATTTATATATTTTTTGATAGTTGATAATATATAATTATCATGTTTTTCAAAGGAACCTTTTTTAAGTAAGTGAACGTTTTCTAGATTATTTTCCTTTTGTTTATCCATGTAATTGTATTCATTTATATCCGAAAAACTTCCATAGTTATTTATAGGAATAAAATCACATAATTCCCCATTTTTAATTGGTATAACACCTAAAAAATCCAACCTATTTTCAGTTAATGTTCCTGTTTTATCAAAAACCATAGTATTTATTTGTCCAGCTAAATTAATTCGGGATGGAGATATACAAGAAATAGAAAATTTTTTTTTTAAACGACTTATTGCTATAGTTATACCGACTGTTAAAGTAGTAGGTAAAGCAGGAGGTACAGCATCTGTTATTAAATCTAAACATCTTATTATAGTATGACTAGAAAAAACGTTATTGATAATAGTCAAAAATAATACTATGAATCCGCTAACCAGTGCATATATAGCCAATATAGCTAAAAATTTATATGAATCTTGGATTAAATTTAAACGAGCTTTTTTTGAATGTAATATATTATTAATTAATTTACCCTTTGTAGTAATAAAACCAGTTTTTATAACTAATCCTAACACTTTATTTTTTTTTTTTGTTACGTTTGAACTGTTTACTGATAAAACGGTTGTACCTGCATATAAGGTATGCTTACTTATTTTTTCTTCGTATTTTCTTTCCAATTCTTTTTTTTTTTTTTTTTTTCTTTCATAACATGTTGAAGAAGAATCTGATATAGAAGATAAAAAATTGTCTAAATCATTAATCATACAAGTACTTCTTTTCATATTTTCCTTTTCATTATTATATTTATTAATTATTTGTTCTGATTTTTGATTATAAATAATATAGTTATTATTTATATTTGTATTTCTCTGATTTGTTATATTTTTATTATTTCGATTTTTTACTTTATAATAATCCTTTTTACTTAATATATTATTAACATTTGAATTTTTTATTTCTTCTTTTTTCTTTTCTAATTTTATTATATCACTAATATGTTTTTCTACTATATCTAATTTTTCTTTCTTATTTTTTTCTTGCTTAAAAAAATTTATATCATCATATTCATCAAGAAATGGCAAATTACTTTTGTTAACAGGAACAGATTCTCCAGTTAACATATGTTCTGACATTGTAGCGTTTCCAATTAATAAAATAGTATCACAAGGTATTTTCATATTGTTTTCTATTTCATATATATCTCCTGGAACCAAATCAGAAGAATCCAACAAACTGATTGAATTATATCTGTGCACTTTCACTAAACATTTATAGTCTATCAAGTTTTTCAACTTTTTTTGATTTGCACGTGTTGAATGTAATTCTATTATTGTTGATATGCTAGTAATAAATAATATGGTTAAAGCATATTCATAGTAATTATCAATACTCCAAATGATCATAGCAAATATTTGAAATATAAAAAAGGGATGAATTATTTCTTTAAATAATAATACAAAAAGCGTATCTAACTTAATGTTAAAATTACATTCTCCATATAATAATTTTCTATCTCTTATTAACTTATGACTACTTAAACCATCACACATTAAATGAATAAACTCTAAAGGATATGTTATATAAAAATATAATTCTACAAAACATTTTTTTCTTCTAATATATACGTAGCGAACTCCTAAAAATTCAAATATATGAGTATTATATTTATATTCTTCCATTTCTGATTCTTCTTCACAACTTTTTATTTTTTCATAATTATCCTCTATATCAGAATAATATTTTTCTATATTATTTTTCTTATTTTTCAATTCTGAATTTTTGTAAGTATTCAATAAATTTTTAGAATATAAACTTTTAATGCTAGTAAAACCTTCTTTAGGAATATTATTATGGTCATTCAAAACAATATTTATGTCATTATATAATTGTACATTTTTTATTTTCTCTATATATTTTCCACCTTCTTTTGTTACAATTAACACTTTTTCACATTCATTCAATGAACATTTTGAATGTAATAACTTAAAATAAAAAATTGGGAACCATGAAAAAATTAATGGTAACAAGCCAAAAGATAAAAAACAAAAAATATAATGAATAGTTTTAATTATACTTTTTAACTTATAGCATTCTACATAATCAATTTTATATTCATACAAATTTTCATCTTCTGTTAATATAGTTTTATAAAGAACTTTATATTTCTTTTTTTCATCATTGTAATCAAACAAATTATACATCTTCAAATGTATACTCCTTTTTTCATTTAGAACAATAATTACATAAAGCTAAGTGTAGTGAACTTAAATTTTCTTTCTCTTCTTAATAAAAAGTCTCAAAAACATTTATATGTTTATATTTATTAATTTTTTTTTCTTAATAGAAGGTTATTAATAAATTATTTTTTAAAATATAATTTGTATTTTTACTATAAAAACAAAATCTTTAAATTAAGAAATATATTTTTTAAAAAGATAAAAATTTTGTTTAAATATTTTTTTTATGAAAGAAATTTCACTTTTGCTTTATTATTCTAACTAGTCTCTTAATAAATTTACAAAAGGAAAATTTTATATAGTTTTATATTTAAAGTAATAAGTCATTAAGGCTTTTTTTTTTTTTTTTTTTTTTTTTTTTTTTTTTTTTTTTCTTTTTCTTGTTTTCATTAAATTACTATATATATTTAATAGTATCATAGTTTAAATCTTTTATTTATTATCTAACATTCTCCAGAACCCCATGTTTATATTTAAATTTCGTTGTTTTTTACAAACATTATTTTTTTAAAAAAATGGACAGTAAAAGATTTCCTAAAAATGTTTAGATATCATAAAAATTAAGTATTTTCAAGAAAAAAAAAAAATTGACAAAATAATGATAAGTATTTCTAAACTCTTGTATCTAATCTTTATATATAAAAATGTAAATGAATATATATCACCCTTATTAGATTTAAAAAAAAAAAAAAATTTTATTATTAAAAAAAATTCAATTTCATTAAGGTAAAAATCAATTTAGTATAAACAAAAACCTAGAAATATAAAAAAATGTTATAAAAATTATCAAATAATTTAATATATAAAACAAAAAATAATATATAAAAACTTAATATAAAAAATTAAATAAATACATTATGCTTAAAAAGTAGTAAATTGTTATAACAAAAAACAAAAAAAAAATGACGCACAGAAGAATATAACATATAGAGGTGTAAAACTACACATGAAATTTGATAAACAAAATAAATATATAATTTACAAAGAAAAATTTTTATATAAACTTCTTATAAAATAAATATATATAAAAATAAAATTTAAATTAAACACTTGTTTTAAAAATTTTTAAGAAAATAAAAATATAATCAATAATTTAAATCATTATAAGAAGAAATAAAATTAAAAAAAATGTGTATGTGAAATTATATAAATATAAATAATAATATCGTTAATTATTTTTAAATTAGAAACTTAAGGAGAAAAGAAATTAATTCAAAATAAATATACTCAATAATATTTAAAGGAATGACTTATGTGCAATTAATTTAATCTATAAAAAAATTGAAGAATTATAGTATTTTTTTATAATCTTGATGTTCTAAAAATGTAATAATTTAAATGTAATAAATAAGTAAAATAATTATTCTTTATAAATTACTAATTACATAAAATTTAATAATTCTTAACCACATATATAAATACATATTTAATTTTTGCTATTTAATTATTTAGATGCATTTCTTTATATATTTTATGTAAATTAAAATTTATTTATAATACTTATTTTAAAAAAAAATGTGTAATTTAAAAAATAAGGAATTTTCTATTTTTTTTTTTTTTTTTTTTTTTTTTATCATAAATTTTACATATTTAATATTATATTAAATTGTATAGGAATTTTAAAACTTAAGATTTAAAATGAAAAATTTTTTAACAAAGAATCCAAGAAAAAAAAAATTAAAAAAAAAAAAAAGGGAAAAGAAATAACAAAATTAACAAAAGTATTCAAAATATTCAAAATTATATAAAAAAATAATAGACATAAAAGGCATATAAATATATGAAGTTTAATGAGATATATTTAGTTACATAAAATTGTGATAAACAAAAGTTTGTAATTTAAAGATTTTTTTCTTTTATCCTAAAAAGGAATTTATATTTGTATTGAGTGTTGTTTGAAATATTCGTATAAAAATGTTTTTTTTTTATCATAATTTAATTGAAGCCATTCTCCTGCATTAATAGGAATAATCTAAAAAAAAAAAAAATAAAATAAAATAAAATAAATGAATATAAATATAATTTTTTTTTTTTTTTTCATCAGTACACGAAATTCATAACTTTTTATAATACCTTCCATCCATGAGCATATAAAATTCTTATTTGTAGTGAGACAAAACCCGTGTTTAAAAAATCCCAGGATGATTTTTTTAAAGTTCTCATTAAATGTTCTTTGCTAAAAACACATATTCCTATTTGCATTTGTTGATTTAAAACAATATCTATTATATATGGAGAGTTATGATATGGCTCGAAATGAAGATTATATGAAATATTAAAATTTTTTAAAATGTAAACTAATTCATCTAATATTTTATTTCTTATTTTCATTGCATCTTTTTCCTTTTTATATATATTAAAATCATTTCTTAAAATTTTACATTTTTCATGCATACAATATTTATACATAATATCTAAACATTTTAAATCAATTAATGACCTAGGTATTTCTTTAAAACATGAATCAGCAATTTGATGTAATCTTTTAAAAGCTTGTGAATCATGTGGATCTCTATTTAAAAAAGTCATATTTAAAATTTTATCAAAATTTTCTTGTGTTTTATGATAATTTGCCACAATAAACGACCAAGTTATATTAACAAAACAATTTTTATATATAGCATTATTAACATCAAAAGATTCTTTATTTAATAAATCAATTATTAATTTATATGATTCATCAAAAAGTGGTTTATAAATTATATTAACATATGCACATGACCATAAAAATGTAGATATGTCAATAATTTTCTTTTTAATTACATCCCATTCTTTAAATAATTTTTCAATTAATATTTTATATATTTTTTCGTCATATATATTCATTTTAACAATTGATGATAAAAGTTTTAGTAATTGAAAAACACTTAACCTACTTAATACATAAGTGTCTTCTATAAATTTAAACATATTTACCATATAATTCATATGAAACCAAGATATTTTTGATAAACTTATAAGTGGATATATCCAAAGAGATATATTTTTAGCATGTATTAGTTCATTAGATTTTTCACACAGAATATCTAAAAGATTATTATATAATATAATTCTTTTGTTATATGAACAAAAACAAACAATTGAATAAACGACATCTTCTACATCTAAATATTTAATATATTCTATATTTTCGTTAATTAATTCATATATATTATTTACTACATTTTTCACTTCATTATCATTTTTTTTGTTATATTCAAAATATTTTAAGCAATGGATTATTTTTATTATTTCACTTTTTTTATCATCATCGCAAATCGTATCTTCTAACTTAAAGTCATCCTTTAACTGATTTTTACTTGTATTATTTAATATTTCTTTTCTTTTTTCAGTATAATATTCTTTTTTCTCTTTTTCTTCTTTATTATTTTCATTAACATCATGTTCTTCCTTCACTTTTCCATTTTTCTGGTTAATTTTCCTAGCTTTTTTGCTTTTTATTATTTCTTCATTCATGTTTTCATATGCCTCTTCCACATTAATGTTATCATCAACATTCTTTACTTCACTGGAATAATCGCAAATTTCCTCTCTTTTTTTCTCCTTATTTATTAAATTTCCTTTCATACTTGATTTTCTTATATCATTTCTTATATTTTGTATATTCAAGGTAATTTGCTTAGCAGCTAGTGAAATTAAATTAATATATTTTTCATCATGCTTAAAATTATTGGATATTTTTAATATCAAATGATAAAAAGTTAAATCAAATTTATCGATGTTTTTTATTATTATATTTAAGGATAAGTCATAAAAATTGGAATATTCTTTACAAAAACGATGAAAAGAATAATATAATGATTTTATTTGATTTAAATTAAACATATTTAATTTTTCCATACATATAATAACAATTTTATCTAAATAATGTTTAGTTCTCAAACTATGCTTAAAGCATTGATTTGCAAATTCGGTTAATTGATCGCAATTCATATACTTAACTTTGACAATCAAATAATCATAAAATTCAACAAAATATAATGAGAAATTATTCATTATTGTTATATAATGAATACAAAGCTTTATTTTTTCTTCATTATCAAGAGAATTATTCTTTTCTTTATTTAAAAGTTTTATTATATCATAAGATATATCTCTAATTTTATTTTTCATATTTAATTCATTTAATAAGCTCAAAATACATATTAAATTATCGTGAGATGCATTTTCAAAATTTTCATATAAGATCTTGAACAATTTGTTTATATATTCCTCTTCTATTTCATGTATTATATCATTATTTTTTTTTAAAATATCTAAAATATATAAAAATAGGCTAATGCTTTTCTCTTTTTTATTAATTAAATTTTTAATATATTCCACATTTATCATTTCATCCGATTTATCGCTAGAAAAATTCTTTTTTATATCATCTCCATAAATTTTTGAATTCATATTACTTACACATAAATTTTTACTTGAATCTTTTAAATTTTCTTCGAAATTAATTCTGTTATCATAATATGTTTCATCTAATCCATTTTCACTTTGAATAAAATTTTCGTTATTTTTACTCTCTTGTGTAAATTCTACATTTTCATCAAAATATTTATGATCATGATTGATATTATCATTTTTTATATAATTTTCTTTAAAAAATTTCTCATTATGAACATTTAGGTTTCTATTGAATGTTTTACAATTATCATTAGCCAATGTTTCTATATTGAATGTACTTTTATTAAGGTTGCATTTAGTTTTTTTCAAAAAATCTTTATATTCTATTTCTTCTTTTTCTCTCCATTTGTCATCTACATTTATGTCAAAAGTTATGTTTGAAGGTATATTTTCATCATATTCTACATCTTCATAATTTTCATTGCATAAATATTCCGTTCTCAATTCTATATTATTTTGTACATTTTTTTTATTACTATAAAAATTACATTTTTTAAGATATATATTAAATGAAAAAATATTTGAATTAATACCTCTAATTACAAATCTTTTCATTTTATAAATAAATTATTAAAGATGAATCGAATATATTTCATAAGAATAAAAGTATATCATAGGATATTTTATTGAAAAACTCCTTAATTTTCGTTATTTGCAATATAATTTAAAAACATATGTATTCCATTTTCAATAATTTTGAGAAATAATAATAATTTATACTAATTTTAATTATTTCAAAAAATTAAGAGAAATTCCTTTTTTTTTTTTTTTTTTTTTATACTTTTGATAATAATGTAATTAATAATATATATATATATATATTTTTTTTTTTTTTTAATAATGTTTAATGTAAATGATTTGTTAAGCCCTTTTTTAAATACCTACGTATTTTTCTTTTTCTCATTTTTTTTTTTTTTTTATAACTGATGAATAATATGTGAAATTTTTAATATACACAATAGTAATTATTCCTTAACCTTTATATAATAATAAAAAATTTAAATTCCTCCATCTACAATTAAAAACTTTTAACTTTACACTTATGAATTAATTTTTTAACACATTTATCTTTATTTTATTCAAGCATATACTTAAAAAATATTTTATTCATTTTTTTTTTTTTTTTTTTTTCTTATATTTATTTATGTATTTCTTTAATTTGTCAATTTTATTAATACATTTTTTATAAAACATAATCATATACAAAAAGTTTTTTTTTCCTTTTCTCTTAAATAATAAGGAAAAACATATTTACTAATTTTAACTTACATTATGTTTTTTTTTTTTTTTTTTTTACCTTTTAATTTCATACGATAAAATTTTAAAATAAATATAAAACATATTTTTACCTTAAATGGATAATAAAAAGAAAAAAGATGGAAAAATGATTAAAAATTATTAGTTCATTAAATTTATGAAGAAAAATAAAATAATATAGAATACATAAAGAGTAAAATGTATAATAATAAAATAAAAAATAAATATTTTTTTTTTTTTCAAATGAAACTTAGAATACCTAAAATTTAATGAAGTGCATTTTGGTTTATTAAAAAAAAAAACAAAATATATCTTTTGAATAAAAGCAAAATTATATTTTTACTTTTATTTATTTTTTATTTAGAAATAAAAATAAATATAAAATATAATTTTTATATTTAGAATCGTACTAATATTATGATATAATGATAATACAGTGAACATATTAAAGAAAATAAAATAAAGAGTTCTGTAAATTTTGAAGAATAATAGCATATAAAAAAAAAAAAAAAAAAAAAAACCCATGCAATTTAGCAAAATAAAAATATATTACTAAACATTTGTTCTAAGTATTTTGTGATTATTTTCCGTTATATATTATAAAAAGGAAAATAAATTTAAAGAACAAAAAATAGGAAAAAGGTAAAATAATTAACAAAGTTTATTTTTAAAATTATATATTAAAATAGTTATTCAAAAAAGAAATATCAACTTAAAAATATTAAGCAACTACTATAATAAAGTAATAAAAGGAATAAAATAATTAAATTTAGAAATATTTAAATTTTCTCCTTTATTAATAATATTATAAATTATATTTACATATATAAAATTATTTATAAGTATTTATTTATAAATTTGAACCTATAACTTTATTACATAATTATATTTTCATATATAATTGTTTTTTAATCGAATAATTTAATTTTTTAATAATTAAAGAATGAATTATATAATATAATAAATTATCCAAATTTATATTTTAAGCTATTTTAAAAAAATAATTTATATATTTATAAATTCACCAATTTTTATTAAAAGTAAGCTATAATAAAATAAGACTATATATAATAATTATATATATATATATATATATATGTAATGTTCATATTTAAAAATAAGATGTATAAATTAATGAAATAGAAATAAGCATGAAAAAAAAAAAGATAGGAATATGTATTTATCAATTATTTAGCAAATTAAAATTCTATAAACATATATGGATTAAAATAAAAGATGTTGTAAAATGTATATTAAAACCATTTATTTTAAAAAAAAAGTTTAATTTTAGAACATACAGAAAAAGACGCATTTGCCCTTCTATGACATTAGTTTTAGATTTAGATGAAACGTTAATTTATTGTACTAAAAAAAAAATATATAATTATCAAAAGGAAGTTGATGTTTTAATTAATGGAAAATATTTATCTTTATATGTTTGTAAACGGCCTTATATAGATTTATTCTTTTCAAGTCTATATCCATTATATGAAATAATAATATTCACAACTTCAATTAAATCATATGCTGATACGGTATTAAATATAATTGATATTGATCATTATATAGATAAAAAATTTTATAGAGAAGATTGTTACGAAATGAATCAAAATTATTATATAAAAAATTTGGTAAATATAAAGAAGGAGATTTCTAAGATTATATTAATTGATGATTCAAATGCGTCTGGCTTAAAATATCCAGAAAATTTTTTTCCCATTAAAAAGTGGCAAGGAGATTTAAATGATACAGAATTACTAGACATTATTCCTTTCTTTTTAAATTTGAGAAAAGTTAAAGATATAAGATCTATATGCTCTTTTAGATTAAAATCACAAAAAGAAGTATCCAAATTATTAAGTACATCTTCTGTTAATGAAATTAATTATTTGCCTGATGATAATTCAAAACCTTTATATAGAGAATCATTAGCCTTTCAAGCTATCAATTATTTAAAGATTTTTATGCATAGATTTAGATATGCTAGTTCAAAAGAACAATGGAATGAATTAGGAAAAAAAATTAACAATAAATTAAAATCTTATCCATTTTCACTTTCAAAACTTAAAGGGTCAAGTGATGACGAACAAAAAAAAAAATATAGAAAAAATGTTCAAAGAAAATTCCAATAAATAAAAAAGAAGTATAATAAATGCCACTATATCTATATATATATATATGTATATTAATTGATAAATTATACAAGTATAATCAAGATTAATTTAAGGATTCATATTGAATATATTATATAAAAATAATTTTAGAACCTATCTTTTTCTATTTTTTAAAATGCTTAAATTATTATTTGTATAACTTGATAATTTGTTTTTTTGTGTTTTTTTTTTTTTTTTTTTCTTCCTCTCAAGCATCAAAAATAGAATATAAAAAAAAGTGTGTATTTTTTTTTAAAAATTATTAATATTTTTTATTATTATGTAAAAATGTTATTGTCATTCATGAATATATACTTTCTTTTCTCCTAATAATATAGTTAAGAAAATGAGGAAATTTTTTTTATATTTAACAATGAGGATAAATTAATTTTTTTAAAAAATATATGTGTATTTGTAAAAAAAACTGTCACATTTATACATATTTTTTTTAAATTTAAAATAGTATAAAAAAAAAATACTATAATATGATGAAAAGTATTTAGAATTTTTATAAATAATATTTTGAAGCATCATTTTTATTCGTAAATTTTTGTTACAATGTAAAAATCTAATTAAAAACTTGGTTTTTATAAAATGCAGCACGGTAAATTTTATAATATATGAAAAATTTAATAAAGTTGAGTTTTTCATTGTAGCTTCAAATTTTTATGACATTAAACAGTTGAAATTAAAAATGTAATACTTTAAAAAAAAAAAATTTTATTTCATGTTAAAATTACAATCGTTAAGATAATGAAATAAAATGAATAAATATTATAACAATCTTCTTTACTCTTATGATAAATATTATATATTATGTTTTATAAATAATTATTTAACTTTTAAAGATTCTGTAAAAAAAAAATTAAATGATATAATATTTTAAACAAATGTTTAATTTACTAAAATTAAATATTTAAAGATAGAAGTATTTTTAATTGAAATTTTTTTTTTATAATTTCAAAAATATTTTTTTACATTTATTGTAAACGAATTTTTTTTTAATTTTTTTTCACATATTTTAGTAATATCTATACATTAAATAAGAATTACAAATATTTAAATAATTTTATTATTTTTCAAAAAAAAGCTAATGTTTTTAAGTAATATGAAAATGCATATACAAAAAATTATTGAAGAAAAATTAAGCCATGTATTAAAACCTACATTTCTAGAACTGATTGATAAGTCTTGTGGTTGCGGCACATCATTTGATGCAGTAATTGTTTCCAATAATTTTGCGAATAAAAAATTATTAGACAGACATAGAATTGTAAATGATATTATAAAAGAAGAATTACAAAACATCCATGCATTTTCTATGAAATGTCATACTCCTATGGAATATGATAAAATAAAAAACACATCTATATAAGCAAATTTTATATATTTAGTATAAAAGAGTTCTTTATCGGCAAAAAGAGAAGAAAAAATGAGCATTTTTTGAAGAGAATATTTAATTTTATATGATTAAATTTTTTTTTATATATTATGACACTTTTATGTTTATTTAAAAAAATATATAATTAACTTTGAAATAATATATATAAACTTATGTTACATCAATCTTGTTATTTTTTAAATATTACAATTTATTTTTTTTTTTCAGAACTATAACTATTATATTACACTTCATTTTATTGTATTTATATTATAAATAAATTATTTTATTACTGAAAATTTAAATAATTAAATTACATATGTTTTTTCTTCAGTAAAAGTATTATAAATATTAAAAACTTTTTTCATTTATTTCAACCAGTTACTATTTAATTTTGGTGTATTTAATAGATAGTATAAACAAAAACATTAATTTTTCCTTTTTTTAGTAACTTTATATTTATTTATAAATATATTAGAAATAATATCTTAATTATAAATTATGAAATTTTTTCTATTCTTTTTAATTTTTGATCCTTACTTCAAAAATTAGGAAAAACCAATTAAATTTGAATTTTAAAGTATATAATCTCCATAAGTAATATTTAGTTACATTTATATAGGAAACATATTAAAATAATAATAAAAAAAAATATGAGATCTTTTTAAAAACAAACCATTATTATACAATGTTATGCCATCCTACTATTATTTTAAGAAATTTATAAAAAATAAGTACATATAGATAGTATAAAATATATAAACATTTTTTTCTCTCTATTTCTCTACATATATATATTTTTTTTTTTAAATAATAATAGAAGTTTATATATAATATCTCTAAACTTTTAATTTTATATGTTTTAGTAAAACTCGTATTTTCACAAAATTTTAATAAGCATTTAATTTATATATCTGTCTAATATATAAAATAATTTTCTTTATATATATATTTATGTTTATATTTGTTTCATTATTTTTTTAAAATATTAGAGTAATTTTTTAGATATATTTTAAAAAATTAGTGTTACTCAAATAATTGTACTCATTTTTTCCCCTAATGCAATTTTTTTTTAAATTACATAGTTTAACATACACTAATATAAAAAAAAAAATATATTTAAATAGATTTTTTAGCTATATTTTTATATATCACTACACACTTTTTTATTATACTATTGTCTATACATGAAAACAAAGATAGAAAAAAATATATTGAATATTTTTAATAATATTTTTTATTTTTGATTGACACGCTTATTTTTTTTGGAATTAATAATAATCATTGGCACCAATATGCACAAGGTAAATTAAAAGGAAAATTCCAATATATATACACATTTTTATAATTAATTCCATTGGTAAACATGCCTTAGTACTAGAAATATAAATATTATTTTACGTGCAAAATTTTACATTATAAATTATTTTTTTTTTTTTTTTAATTATATTTATGCATACATAACTTATATGGAACTAAAGTGAGTTGAAATTTTTATGGAATTTTACATTTTAATACATATTGTTATTCTTTTTATATAAATTTTATCAAATTATAAATACAGAAATTATGTATATATATATATATACATTTTTATATGCTTCTTTTTTTTTTCTTTCTTTATTTTTTATTATATTTAAGCACTATTTATACTATTTTTATTAATTAATCTGTGAATTTTTTTTTCACCCACATTAATGTCGTGTTTTTTTTTAAATATTTCAATGTGATTGAGGTTAAGTCAAAGATTTAATAGAAACATTTGATATTTCATGATATTTTTCACTCTTATAATTTCACATTTTTTATTCTATTTTTCTACTTATTATTTTATTAAATATCATATTTTTTAATACAAAAATTCAATATTTCACTTGTTTATTATATGTGTGTATTTGCTAATATAATTTAGCTATTATTTTATTTGTTTCTTTTTATGTTCTATAAAAAAAAAAATTATTTCCCATTTCATTGCGCCCCTCAAAATATCCTAATTAAAGCAGCTAAAAAACGTGCAACACGAAAATTACACACAATTTAAAAAAAAAAAAAAAAAACATACATATATTTGAAATTGTAGATTGAAAAATTATGAACATAAAAAAAAAAAAACACACAAATACTCACAATTCTTAAAATTTAACCTACCAAAAAAAAATTATTATTATGAACAAAAAATATGCAAATCAGAAAATAATAATAGTAATTTAAAATTATATAATTCTATGCTCTTAGGTATATAAATAAAAATTAATATCAAAAATGTGTGCTTATTTATTTGTATAATAATATATATAAATTTTAGTGCAAAAAAAAAAAAAAAAAATAACAAGAAATAAAAAAAAAATATATTCATATACACATATATATGTATGTATGTTAATATATATATATGTTTGTAAAATATATATATATATGTATATTATTTTTTTTTTTTTATTATTTTATATTTTTATATTTTTTTATTTATATTATTAATTTATTTATTCATTTTTAAATATTAACATATATATAGTATTTATTAAATAATTTATATATATTTACACACAATAATGAATTAAAAAAATGATTAAATAGCTAAAATTTAATTAAAAATTATCATGCTTTTTGCTGGAAATAAAAAAAAAACATAATTCATTTTTTATTTGTTGTATGAATAATATATCTTTATTAAAAAAAAAAATACTATTATAAAAAAAAAATAAAATAAATAAATGAATTAATATTTCGAAAAATATATTTAATAATATATCAATTGAATTTTTTTTTTTTTTTATAGACTTTAACAATTATTTTAATCGAAATATAATAATAATAATAAAAAATATATATATATATATATATATATATATATATAATATATATTATAATAAATTAAATAAATAATAAAATGGCAAAGTTAAGTTTACCAGAATGGAGCGACGTCGAGCGATATTTTAAAGACCCTGAGTTAATAACAGCAGAAATATTATTTGTAGCTTTAACGTTATGTAACGTTTTTGTTATGTATCGTCTATTTTTAGATGTTATACCTTTTCCTATTTTTGTTACTTGGTGGCAATTGGCACAAGGTTTACTAGTTGCCTATGTATGTGGGGAATTGGGTAGAGAATTTCCTAAACTTGCTTATTTTCCAAAAGTGGAAATTAATGAAAATATGCTTAAAGTTCTATTTATTCCGTCAATTTTTTATTGTTTGATGCTTGTATTATCAAATTATTTATTATATAAAACTCCATGTATAGCATCATACCCAGTACTTGTTAGCTTTACTGTTGTCTTTCATCATCTCACTCGTTTTGTTGGATGCGGAGAAGAATATATGCCATTAAGATGGCAATCCATTTTTTTTTTATTAGTAGCATTTATAATAGGCTGTTTTGATTCCAAGATTATGGGAAAAGGAGTTATTTTATGGGCTTTATTATATGCTCTATCGTCAGCCATTTTTAGAGCTGGTTTTATGCAAAAAATTATGCATTTAGTTGATGGCAGAGGAAACACTCTACATAATAATCAGCATCTTTTAGGTGTACTTATATTACCTATATTAATTATATTATCAGGTGAATGGACAGTGTTTCAATATATGCCATATGATTTCACTTCATTACATACATGGCAAATGTGGGGATGCTTAATAACAGTTGGAACAATGCCCTTTATAAAAAATGTTATATCAAATAGGTTGGTTAGAAGAACAGGTCAAGGACCATGGAGATTTTTGGAAATTTTATCAATTATACTTGTATTTCTTATAGGTATGACTTTTAATGCACCAACATATAAGGGATACATAGCAATTTTATGTGTAATTATTGGAAGATCTATTGGTGCATTTGATGTCTTATTAAATGCATCAGATTATATGCTTGCAGAAGACGAAAGAAGAAGAAAAAATCCACGATCTAACTATGCAAAAAATAGGCAAAGCACTCAAGCATCTAAACCATTTTTGTCCTCAGCTGACAATGAAGAAGACGAAGAAAGTTCTTATAGCTCTAATGATAGTAAAAGCTATCAGGGATCACAAGATTACGATGATAAAGAAAGTGTAAATAGTAGTTCACAACAATATAGTGTTAATAAAGGAACAAGCAGAATGGGTAGTTCATCAAATCAAACAAGTAATGCAGGAATTTCTGGAGATGAAAGCAGAATGGGAAGTAAAGCAAGTGCTAGCAGAACGAGTGGAAGAGGATCAGGTTTTCAAAGCAAATCTAAATTATCTAGAAATTATTCATCAAAGGAACGAGAAATGCTTGATTCTCAAGCTTAATATTGTGTTTTACACTTTGAGTTTTTTTTTTTTTTATTATAATTATTATTATTTTATTTTTTTTTGTAAATTTTTCAATTTATAAGAAGAAAAAAAATGCATATATATATATATATATATATACGTATATTTATATAGTTATAAAAGAAATATTACTTTAAAAAATGTTACAGCAGTTTCAAATCACAATTTTTTTTTTTAAAATTCATAATTCTTTAAAAAAAAAAAAAGAAAAGGTATATAATATTGTTAATTTTAGATTTTGTAAATAGTATTTAATAGATAATCATAGTAGGGAATAAGTACATATTTAGTTTTTCAAAACAAATACCTGAAGAATGGAAAATTTCAATACTTTTAATCAAAATATAAAAAAATAATATAAAATGAAAAGAGAGTATTATAATTTAAGCACCCCCAAAAAATAAAAAATAAATAAATATATATATATATTTGAACAATATGAAAAATAAATTAATCTAAATATATTAATATATAGTATATGATGTCGTAAGATATATAGCGTGTTTAAATTTTCATTAATTTTTTTTTCTCCTTCATTGATTGAAATATATAAATATATATATATATATATATAAAAACATGAATTTTTATGAATTATCTTATTTATTTAGTCATTTTTTTATTTTTTATTGTTATAATTATCACAATTATTATTAGTAACATTATTATTTTTTATTTTTTTTATTAATGTCAAATTGTTTTCAACATTTATTATCATACATCTAAGTTTCTATATCATAATATTATATATATAAGTTTTTAAGAGAAAAGATATATTTTAACTATTGTAATAAGTAAAAGGAGATAAATGAAAATGTAGAGGATAAATTTTAAGATTTTACAAAATTTTTCTATGTCTGTCAATTAAATAAACATATGTTTATAATTTTACATTGATTCATGTATATATATTTACATTAAGAAAAACTAAAACTATAATTTTTTTTTTTTATTTCCACGTTACTCTTCATATTTTTTTTTTTTGTACATATTTTTTTTTTTTCTTTTTTTTTTTAAATTCTTATAATTTATGTTGTTAAACTTTCAAATAAAACAAAATCTCCATGAATTATAGACGATTTCCTTGTGTTTTTTTATAATGGTGTTTTAATAAAAACTATATAATTTTTCATTAATAGTAATAAAAAAGAATTATAAAATTAAAATTATATTTTAATACTTCCTATAATCCTTCATGGGCATCTAAATATTTATTAGCCAAAATTTTGTTTTTTATAACAATTAAAATAAGTAGATTAACATAAAATAAAAGCTAGTATTTTTCTTTTTGTGTATTTAGGCACTTTTTAAATGCATGCATTTTTCTATTATTATATGACGTTATAAAATTTTATATTTATGACCTATTTTTCTTTTGAGATATTTACGATTTTTCGTGTTTGATAAAATATATTACATAAAAAAAAATTGAATTAAAAAATATGCAAAAAATTATTTTCTTTTAAAAGAATCTTCATATACATATATAGATAATGGATATGTATGCTGAATAAATATAAAAAAATTAATTAATAGAATATATTTATAGATTTTTGAACAAATGATTAATGCTGATATCATTCTTAAATGTATAAGAACTATAAATATCTGGAAACGTCGATTTATTCTTTTTATATTCTTTATTATCTCTCAAGGAAGAATAAGAATTGAAGCATGTTTGCATGTTTGTATTTCTTTGAGAAGAAACATTAGGGAACAACAATTTCATAATGCTTTCATAAGCCACATTATTTCGTTTTGGCATGTTTGCTGCAACTTTAGTTATTTTTTGAAAATCCATTTTATTGTTATATGAAAAGTCTAAAAAAAAAAATATGAAAAAAGGAGGAAAGGAAAATATTTAATGATATAGTTATATATATGTATTAACAATAAAAATTAAAGCTAAAATTTTTCATATACTATCAGTAGGTGTTTTAGTTAATGTTCCTGCTACCAAATCATTAAAGGTTTTGCTCTTTAGAAAAAAATATATATATTATTTATATATTGTGAATTTATGATATTTTTTATGCATTGAACTTTCATTAAAATACATGTATATATATATATATATATATATATATATATATATATATATATATATATATATATATATATATATATATTTTTTTTAATTCTCTTACTTCGTTATCCAATTGAGTATTAGGAATATATTTAGTGTCAAAACCTTCTCCTACAACAAATACATTTGGCATATTGCAAATCATCTGTCCAATTTTTTGATAATCACAAATTTTCATTAAAGGACGTAATTCACATTTATATAATTTAAACCATTCATTTGTTAAATGTATAAATTTAATTCCATATATGCCATGTTGTGATAAAATATAGACATTTTTTTTTATTTGCTCTTTTTCAAAAAATGTTTTTTTAGCTATTACAAAATCTTCATATGTTAAATCGCTGGAGTAATAAACAGGACCGCACAACTGTTTATTTGTTTCATATTCACTAAGTATAATGCCACTAGCTTTATATTTTAAAAATAATGAATTCTGTTTTTTGCAAACATGAATGACTAAATTATATAAAAGTTTATGCAAATGGTATCTTAGTATTTCTAAATTTTCATTTTTAAATAAAAAGGAACTTTTTTTTTCAAAATTATCCTTATAGCTTATCTTATCATTTCTATAATTATCAAAATTTTGGTAATTTCCACTTTTATTTGATTTATACATAAACCTATCATAATGTCTATTCATGTTCATTCTATGAACTTTTAAATCTTTTCCCAAAATACTAAGCAAATTTATTGTGTTTCCATTAAGGTAAGATTTAGCGATATCCTTAAAATAAAAAATATGAAATAAAATAAACATATAGCTATTCACAGAATAAATTATATATGAGAATATATATAAGAAAATAGTCTTTATACAAAAAAAAAAAAAAAAAAAAAAAAAAAAAATTTATTTAAAAATAAAATAATTTATATGAATTAAAAAAAAAAAACTTACTTTGTATGTTATATCTTTGAAATACTGAGAATTGCTTAGTGATGTAAATTTAGATTTCGTAAAAGTTTTAAAATTTGCTTGCTTATCAGAAAATATATTATCATAATATTCTTGAGCAGCATCTAAAGTAAAAATTTGCATTGTTCTACCATACCCTGTTATTATTAAATTAGGTATTTCTTCTAATAATTTTCTTAATTTTTTTGTTTTATAATAATTTAGATAAAAACTTAAAGGAAATTGATCTGAGTATGTTTTGTTCCATTCACTTTTAATAGATGAGACAAAAACACCTATAAATTGTTCATTAGTGTTTTCTCTTATATGGGAATTAAAGAAGTCAGAATTTTTTGTATATTTATCACTTGATAAATTTTCTGATTTAAATAGGTTCGATGTATCATATGTTTTAAAACTTTCATTCTGATATTCTGAACCATTTGTTCCTGATGTATTTAAGAAATCTAAAATATTAACTTTTTTTTTGTCATTTTCATTATTATTTATATCTACTTCTTTTGCATTAAATATGTCAACTTCATGTTTACTGACATTTTTCTGTGTGTCTATATTTTCTTGAAATTCATCTTTTTCATTTAATTTATTTTCAGACAATCTACTATCTACATATTAAAAAAAAAAAAAAAAAAAATTTATAAAATATATTCTCCAAATAAATTTTATAGGAACTAGAAATATAATATTAAGAGAATATTAATACATGCATATGCATATTTTTATTTACACACAAAAGAAAATAAGACATACACGTGTTTGAAGTAAAATCAAAAAATAATTTATAATATGAATATAATTTTTTTCGTATGTACAATTTTTTAATGACAATAATATAAAAATATATAAAGTGGAGAATTTATTAAAAAAATATATAATAAAAAAAGTTAATAAAATTTATTCTTCATTAATATTATTTAATTTTTTTTTTGCTTTTTATTTTATGTATTATATAAAATTATATATAAATTATTTTTTTTTTTTTAACAATGAAATTTTTTTAAATGATATTTACTTGAATATAATATTTGATCCTTTATTTTACTTATTTCATTCCATTCAATTTTTTGTCTTTCTGATAAAATAACTATTAATTGAAACAGTAGAATATGCAATTGCATTTTTGTCAATATTTTAGGGATTAAATTTTTGTTCGAATATTCTTTATTACTAGAGAATTTATTTTTATTATAGATATTCATTAAACCATTAGAATAATTATTTGATTTACAATTATAATTATCATTTAATTTATTTGCAAAAATGTCATCAAAATCATTTGATACTATATTGAAACTTTCACCAAATAAAATACTTTTCAAATTTGTTTGAGGTATTTTACAAGATGATTCATTACTTTTATTAAAAGAATAATTTATATTTTTGAGACCATTAGAATTGATTGATTTTATTAATTGTATATTATCAAGTGAATTTATTTTATTTTTATTCATGCTAAAATTATTATCTCCATTGTAAGAATTAAAGCTCATATTTTTATTAAGGAATTGCATAGAAATACTATGTTTCTTACTATTTAATTTTATGGGTGATTTAAGTTTTAACTCATTGCTGCTTAAGGATTTTATATATTTTAATTCAGGTATTTTTGAATCAAATGTTTGCGGTGTTATCCTTAGTTTAATATCATTAGGAAATTCTAAAATTTGAATTTCCTGTATTTCTTCTAAAAAGATCTGTAATTTATCTATGCCACAACGAATTTGTAATGCCTTTAAATTAAAAAGTGATCCAAATATTTTTTTCACTTCTTGTGGCAACTTAGTTAATGATACACTATTACTTATTGGAGTTTCTTCATCACTTAATTTTGAATTGTAATTAGTACATTCCGCAAGTGTACCCAATATTATCTTTACAAAAAATTGTTTATTTTCATCCATTTTAGGTGTTTTATATTTAATTATTAAATTTTGTTCAGATATCCCGTTTTTTTCATTGTTATCACTGTTTTTCAACTCATTTTCTACATTTTTACCAGTATCATCTTCTATATCCTTTTTCACTTTTTTTTCCACATTTTTTTCTGTACTTTTTTCTATATCTATTTTTGTATTTTTTTCTATATTTTTTTCTTCATTTTTTTTTGTATCGCTTTCGACACTTTTTTTCTCATCATTTTCTATATTTTTATCTGAATCTTTTTCTATATCTATTTTTGTATTTTTTCCTATATATTTTTCTTCATTTATTTTTGTATCGCTTTCTATATGTTTTTCTTTACCTTTTTCTATATTTTTTTCTTTTTCGTTTTCTACATTTTTATCTGAATCCTTTTCTATATTTTTTTCTTTTTCCTTTTCTACATTTTTATCTGAATCCTTTTCTATATTTTTTTCTTTTTCCTTTTCTACATTTTTTTCCTCATCATTTTCTACATTTTTATCTGAATCCTTTTCTATATTTTTTTCTTTTTCCTTTTCTACATTTTTCTCCTCATTATTTTCTACTTTTTTATCTGAATCTTTTTCTATATTTTTTTCTTTTTCCTTTTCTACATTTTTCCCCTCATCATTTTCTACTTTTTTATCTGAATCTTTTTCTATATTTTTTTCCTCATTCTTTTTTTCATGTGTTTCCGCACATTTTTCTTTATTTTTTTCTGTATCTCTTTCTACATTTTTTTCCATTTCTTTTTTATTGTTTCTTTTTTCTTCTTTAATTTCTTCATATATTAAACAATAATCTAAACTCCTTAGCAAGTCAAAAATATTAGTAAATCCTGCATGATTTAAGTTTAACAATGCATTATATTTTTTACAGTATTCCCCAGAAATGTTTTCTAATTTAATTCCTTTATATGCGAAAGATTTTATTAACAAAATTATATTTTTTTTTGTATGTCTAAAAAAAAAAAAAAAAAAAATTTATATGATTACATTTTTGTAATTGTTTCTTATGCAGACTAATTATATTTTTTATGTATGTACTGTTGAATTTTCTGATATATATACAAAGCATTTTGTGGCTTGAATTCTGGTGCAATTGGGTTTAGCTTGCTTCTAAAAAAAAAAGTTATGAATATATTTCAGAAAAAAAAAATAACCATTTACATCTCTATAATAGTATGTATCTTACTTATGCTTTTGAATAGTTTCACTTCCTGTTTTTTTCTCAATTTCACATTTCAAACTTTCTATATAACCTGAATCTGTAAAATTGTTTTTTTCTGTAAATTATTAAAAGATGAAAAGTAATGATAATAACATATTTGTATTAATATATATATATATATGTAATATTAATAATTATCGTATAATAAAATTGTCTATTACGTTAAATGAACACTTTAAATAAATACAAAAATATTATTTTCATATAATATGAAGATGCATTAAAAAGCTATAGTTTATCGACATGGTTCTTATAAATAATTATATTATCATATAATTTATAAGCATACTTATATGTTTATCTGATAATACACTATTATCTAATTCTTTATTTTCAAGAACATCATCCTTAGTCACATGATTATTATTATCCTTGAAGAAAAGAAATAATTTTTTTTTTTTTTTTTTTTTACTTACAAATTTCTTTTTCTATAAATATATATATTATTTATATTTCTTTTTCAATTACTAGTTTTTCTTTGTCCTTTTTGTCTTCGTCTAGTAATATATCCATATTTTCCTTGCTAAGAAAGGTATAAATTTAAGTTTCTTAATTTTATCTAAAACAATATTCATTAATACTTTGTATTTATTTTTATTATTTAATTTTTACCTGCTATTTGTAGTACTATTTTCATCTTTTTTTTTACACAAAAGAGTTCCACTTTTTCTGTTTTTTGAAGGTTCTTTTTCACTATTATTATTTAAATTATTTTTTGAATCAGAACTCATGTTTAGAGATAAATTTTTATTAAAGTTATCTATTATATTTTTGTGTGACCTATCCAATTCTTTTATTTTATCTGATATAATATTTGTGTTTAATTCTTCTTTAACACCTGTTTTGTTATAATTCAAATAATTCAGAAGACTTGAATTTTTATCACTTGTTTCAAATATTATATTATTGTTCATCTTACTTAAAAAGAAAAAAGGAAAACATTTTTATATATAAACTTCTATTTATGTTATTTATATTTCTAATAAAAATAAATATACTTAAGAACTTTTTTTTTTCATTATTACTGATTTTTGAAGATAAAAATATTTGTATTTAAGAAATAAAGATCATGTAAATCTGATTGTTTCGGTTTGTTTTTTTCAGATATCAATTATAAAAAAACCAATATAAAATTATCACTTGTATACATTATAAAAATAGATAAAACAAGGAAAATATGAAACTAATAATACATATTTTGCTTTCTTTAAGTTAAAGCATAAAATTATTCTTGTCTCGATTCACCAAATATATGAAAATTGTTAAGAATACTTCCATATATATAAATATATTATTGCATAATTAAACAGTATGAATATATTAAATTAATGCGTGAAATAGACGTTGCATTTTTTTTTTTTTTTTTATTTCATTTTATATAATAAATATATTAAATAAATTATGCAGCAAAAAATAAAATAATTTATAAAGACCAAATATATTTAATTAGTGTCTTTGATGCATTTTAAGAATTAGTTTTTATTTTTACACATTTATTTTTATTAATGTGTGCAAAAATAGAAGTGTATTCTATGGAAAAAAAAATGAATAAATTATTTTATGACTTGATCTATATTGATATACGAAAAAAAAATTAACACGTCAGCAAAAAAAAAAAAAAAAAAAAAAAAAAATAGATAGATAGATAATACATAAAAAGTATATATTTATATGATGTGCTATTTAAAAAAAAAAAAAAAGTTTAAGTGAATATCTTTCTTTTTTCAGAATTCGTTCGATATTATTACGTAAGTTATATACCTTTTAAAATTTTCAAAATAAATCTATATTAAAAATATTACTTACAAGATATTATATGTTATAGATAGATATATATTATCTAACTAAAAACATTTAATAAAAAAAAAGTTCTGAAGTTCCGTATAACAATATGGTATCATTTTGGATTATTATATTCATTAACTTATTAAAAAAAAAAAGGTATGTGGTGTGTGAAGGTGTTATCATTTAACCGTATGTACGATACTTACACGTTATAGCTATTCTTTCTTTTGTTGATATATTTAAGTTATTTTAAATATATAATTTAAGTTATTTTTATGCATAAAAACATATGTAACTTCTAAAAAAAATTTTGCCTTTTAAAAATGTTTTAAAATTTAATAATAATGAAAGAGAAAATTATAACCTACAATAATATTTGTTACGCTATTTTGCTACAAAAGTATTTCAAAATATATATAAATTAAAGAAAAATAATAATTATATTAAACCACATAACACTTAAGATTAAAAAGTTAATAATGGTTCGAAATTTAAACTATTAAATAAAATTGATATTCTAAATAAAATTAACATAGACATTTTAATTTTGTTAAACTAATATCATTATTTAGAAATATGGAATAACTCATTATTTAACACTTTTTTTTTATTTTTTATTTTTTTTTTTTTTGAGGAAAATATAAAAAATAATTATAGATGATATATGAAAGTTTTTTTTTTCTTTTTTTATTGCACATTTCCTATACACACAAATATATACATCTACGTCTATGTTTATATTTAACCGCATAATTTAATTAAAATATATGAATCTTTTTTTATGAAAAATACACATAAAAAATTAAACTTTTTTGTTTATTTAGTTACTCATTTCTCTGTATATTTATTATTTAAATATCTATTTTAAATGATTAAATTTTATAACTATTTAATATTAGCACAGAGCCTAATAAAAATATATATATAAATATATATGTATACATATTTTTCATTTTATTTATAATATTGTTTTTATGTATAGTAATATGTATTTATTATATAAAAATTTTAACCTGCAAAAAATTAGCTGAATTATATATATTAAAAAATTATATATATTTGTTAACTCTTAAATGCCTTTAAAAAGGAGTATAGTAAAAAAGATTTTTATCATTTAAGTTTATATTGTCATTTTCTTTAAAAAATAATATGTGTATATAGAGCTTTTTTATTTAATGGTATGTTATTTTCTAATTTTACTTTAATTTAGTGAATTATACTTTTTTATATTTATTTATTTATTTTTTTTTTTTTTTTGGAATCCATAAATCGAATAACAAAATTAGTATGTTATATAATTAAAAAATAATTATAGAATTAATAACATATATATTTTATTAGGATTTATAAATTATATATTGTGATTAAGTATTTGAAAAGATCGTTATTAAATCCTATAATTCTCATTTAGACATTTTATTAGAAAAAAAAAAAATAAAATAAAATCTTACGAAATAATATAAAAAAATATGTTAGTTCTAATAACTTAAACTATTAACGTTTATATTTGAAAAAAAAAAAAAAAAAAATTAAATTCATTATAAATATATATAATATACTTTTTAAAATTAATGTTATTTTTTAAAATGTCCAATATAATTATGGGTGTAAGCAGTTGTAAAAATAAAAATATACGCAGAATAAACTTTCATACAATAAATATAAGAACTATAAATTTTTAAATTAAATACTTAAATTTTATTTAAAAAAAAAAAAAAAAAAAAGGTATTTTGATTATATTTTCATTAATTTTACTTATGTTTATATGTTGTAATTAAAAATAAAATAGTATTCTTTATTATTGCTACCTACATAACTACATATATGCAGCTGTGCATGAAACGCAGTAATATTAGAAAATGGATATAAATAAATTAAGAAATGAATTCTTTCATGAATATCAAGATAGTGATATAAAAAATAAAAATTTCTTTTATAAAAATAAAAACAAAAATGATTGTGGTAATTGTAAAAAAAAAAATATATATTGGATAGATTCTCAGAACTATTTGGAGACAACCAATAATAATCTAAGTTTAACAAATCCTCGAAATGACAAACATATGATTAAAAGAAAGAAAAAATTTAATTCTTTCAGAAATACTTACGATCATATCATAAATTTTATAAAAGAAAATAAAAATGATATGAAGAAAATTAGATATTCTTTATTTTTAAAAGCATATGAAAAATCTGAATTATGTCAAATAAAAAAACAAAATAAAAGAGAAAAAATGAACTTAAATAAATATAATAAATATATTGATATAAAAGATGCTAAAGAAAAGCAAAGATTAAAATTATTAAAATTATTAAAAAGTTATCATATTAAATATGAAGGATATACAAGTTTAGATACCCTCTGTGATTATTCAATATATTTTCAAGATAAAAGTGTTAAAGATACACTACTAAAAAAACAAAATTGTGATAATTTTTTATATTATTTAGTTACTATAGGAATTTCATATAATGACATAATAAAAATGGCTAGTGTATTTGAAAATATGGAATATTTAAAAAATTGTAATTTGTATATGCTTCCTTGGATATATAAAAAATTGAATGAATTTCACAATTTTGATGTAAAAACATTTGTATTACATTGTGTAGCATATTCAGTAGCTACATTAAATTCTTCTTTATATTTGTTTATTAGATATAAAACCATAGCTATCATTTTCCCATTATTTATAACTTACACATTACTATCAGCACCTTTTTTATTGCAAGAAATAAATTGTGGTCGTCTAGTTTTAGATGGATGTATATCTTTTTTTTGGTCAATAAATTATTATCATTTACCAATAGCAATGATATTAATTATATCATATTTTATTTCTATAATAAAATATATAGATTTAATATGTTTACAAATTTATTATTTTTCTTACTACTTTAAAGATAATAATCCATGGATTTATAAAAATATAGATACAAAAATATGTTCTAAATTTAATGGTAGCAAAAATATTTGTAATTTTTCCAGAAATATATGTTATTATAATGAAAGTACTAACACATGTGAAATAAACAATATAAAATTGGTTATAATATATATTATTTCTGTATATGTATATTTATATAAATATAAAATTTTATTATTGATTATATATATTTTTTGTTATTAGGGTACAAAGATATATGATATGCTTTTAAATAATTATGACAAAACAAAAAGTCAGACATTTACAATGGCTATAGTACTATTTTCATTTTTCTCTTTAATTTTATATAATTTCCTTTCAAAATATAAAACTTCCCATAAAATTGTTAAAATATTCTTATCTTTTCTAATTCTACTTTTTGTAATTCATATTTTTTCTATTCGTGACTTTACGTTCATTAGATTTCTCTTTAACGATTTTAATTTTAGTAAAATAATAAGTATACTTTCAAATCATGAAGTCTGGATTTTATGTATGATTCATTGCACCACAAATTTATCGTTGCATTCAGGAGTGTATTTTTATTCTTCAAAAGGATTAAGGTATGTATATAAAAAGTTATGATATATATTTAAACATATTTATTAAAAATGTTATAATAAAAATAAATGCAAATATCAAATTAATTCCATTCATAAGGATATGTGAAGACTCACAAATATTTATATTTAATTTTTAATTTTTATATATTTTTGATACTATCAGATTAGGTGTGAATGTTATTTCTTCAACTTATTTTATTATTCTATTTTGTTTTTTCCTGGATATACTTATTTTTGTAACATTTGCAAATATAATTGCAAAACATATAAAAAATATAGATAAAAATTATTATTTTTTAATAGAATTAATGAAAAAAAACGCTTTTTTTATTTTAATTCCTGTAGCAAATAATTACTGTAGAAAATTTACCTTATTTTTAAGTATATATGTTGCAGTAATCTTCTTAACATTAATTTTATTAGCTGCATCTAAAAGAGTTGATATCTTATTTTTATCTATAAAGGATATATATAACTCTAAAGGCTCAAAGATGTTCATTGCGATATGGATATTATTATTTTTATTTTATTATATTTATAGAGTTGCTGATAGTAATTTTAGAGTTATATTCGTATCATATTTATCACAAATTTTTACTTTATTAATTTTACTCTGTGTAAATTTTAATTTTTTCTGGCTAAGCGGATTAAAAGAAACAGCACAAAAATTAGGCAAATGGTACTTAGTTTTTACGGTTCTTCTAACATTTATTAACGAATTTTTTTTAATTTATTGTGAAATTCACTTAAAATTAGCAAACAGAGTTTTTTTATACTTTTTACGTCAATTTATAAATATTTTTATTATTCCTTTTATTTCCATAATTATTTGCCAAAAAATTTTAAGATTAAAAGATAATGGATACTATAACAAAAGTGACATGAAAACAATAATGGTAAAATTAAATATATTATCAACCTTACATATTTGAATTTATAATTTTTATATATATTTACTTAATTATATACAGATTTATAATTATATATATATATATATATATATATATATATATATATATATATTATTTTTATAGCGAAGTACTTTTTCGTTAGCCTTGGGATGTACTGATAAATCAGCCAAAATTCAATTACAATTTATTCCTAGGTCAAAATATACAACATATTTCAATATTTTTTTAGTGTTATATTTGAAATACTTTGGTATAGATTTAGTTTTTATGTGTTTTTTATACGTAGCAAATAATTTTTTTGTTGAAAATGAAGTTTTTTTTAAGAAAAAATATTCAAATGCTGGAATTAATGAATTTATTGTGTTATTACTTTACATAATATTTCTTTACGTAGTGTATATAAATATCCCATTATTTCAATGGATAAAAAAAAAGAGGTTTTTAAAAACTAATAATTTTAATGTTCTAGATTTTCCTGTATTATTTGAAGAAAAAAAAAAAGAAAAAAAAAATGCATTATTTACAGAATTTATAGATAAATAAGAAACTAAAAAGATTATTATTTCATTAAATTTCTCAATTTTTTTTATTTTTAATCTGACGTATTTTATTATTTATATAACATTTAGATTTTAGTAATTATATTTATTATTTTTCTTCATGTTTCATTGAAAATATTTTGTATTTATAACTGGTCACACTTTTAAAAATTTGTTTAAAGACAAAAGTAAAAATGAAAATAAATACCCAAATAAAAAAAATAAAATATAATAATTTAAGAATATATATTCCCCCTTATGAAAATATAGATAATATATATTTATGTTATAACTATTTAAAATATTTAGAATTTTTTAAATTATTTTTTTTTTTCTTTCTTTAAGTTGATATAAAAATTAAAAGTTTTATATGGAAAAAATCTTTATTAAATTATAAATAGATTATCATTTTATTTTTCTAAAAAATTAAAAAAAAAAGAATTATATTAAAAACATTTTGTATAAATCTGTCTTTTGCTAAATCATGTATTTCATATAGCGTCATAACCAGTTTTATACATTTACTATTTACATGAATATTTATTTTTAGTAAGACTTATAATTATTTTAAACATTTTTTATTAATATTTATTATACAATTTAATTTAATGAAGAGACAAACAAATTAAAAATATGCATAGTTATCCTAAGAATATGAAGTAACACATAAAACTGTGAACGAAAAATAAAATATTTATTTTCACAATACATGTATATATATATATAAATTAGCCTTTAAAACATTTACATTTAATATAAAGTAAGTATTATTTGTTATAAACAAAAAAATGTAAGAGTAGAAAGGATTAAAAATGTAACACAAACAATTTATAAAAAAAGATTTATAAAATTATAAGCCTAATAATTTTAAAGAAACGAAAAATATATGAATATCATCAAACAAAAATTCATAATAAAAATGTAAAAAAAAAAAAAAAAAAAGAATGAAAAAAAAAAAAATAAAAAATAAAAAAAGAATTAAAACAAAAATGGAAGTAAAACAAAATGAAACAAAACAAAAAAAAAAGACAAGACAAAACAAAACAAAACAAAACAAAATAATATGTTAAACATAAGAATTATCATAAAAATAAAATATTATAAAATATATAATTAATTATAATTTTTAATAAAATTTATAAATGACGATTTATTTCTCTATTAAATTTTTTTTTTTTTTTTTAATAATTTATCCTTAACTTATATTCTAATAAATTGGAAAATTTCCGATTATTTTATTAATTATAGGTTTATTCTTAAGTAGCTTTTTATGTTCACAATCTTCTTTGTTAAAATAAATAGTATATGGTAATTTTTCTTTATCTATGCTTGTTAATGGTACTTTTTTCTTTTCATCATTTATATTACTTGTAAAAAAACTATTCTTGTTAAAAATTTGTTCATTTTTATAATTATTAGGATAAATATCATAAAATTTGTTATTATTTTTAATATTATATGAATTTTTATCTATATATCTAGTATCTTTATTTTCATATTCTCTCAAATATATTTTATCATTATTTTGAAAGCTATACTTTATATCACCTAAAAATATTCCGCTTTTTTTGGTATTATGAGGTAAATACATATTTTTAGATTCTACAATAACTTTAGGTTTCTCTTTATTTAGTAAATTTGCATCTAAGCAATTGGGGATATTATAATTATTTTTATCAAGAAAATAAGATTTCTGCCCTTGTTTAAAATTTTCAGCGTTGATATAGTTTTCATTTATATATTTAGGATTTTTATTTAAACAATTCACAATATTTCGCCTATCTGAATTATTAATAGGTGAATTATTATATTTCTCATTTGTATTATTATTGTTATTTAATATTATTACATTCATAGAATTAGCATCCTTTTGCAAAGAAGTAATATACTTATTAGCATCTTCGTTTTTTAATATTTTCATATAGTTACTATTCAAATAAATATTTTTATTATTATAACCATATGATTTTTCGAAACAAGTATTTTTTTCTAGGTCTTGTTTGTTAATGCTATACAGATTAGTATATTCCCATTTTCTTGAACCATTTTGATTATGAGATAAATAATTTTCATCTTTTTCTACTATATAAGGCGTATAAATTTTCTGCTTAAAATTTGTTAGATCCTCTTTGTATACTGAATTGTTACATTTATGATTACATATGACTTGATCAACAGATTTCTTTATATTATTCTTTCCTTCAGCTTCACTTAAAATATATACTTTACTAGTATTTCTTATATTGTTATCCTCATTCGTTATTTGTACTATATTATTTGAATTCTTTAAATTGTATTTATTTTTTTCATTTATCTCAATATTCTTTAAGTTTTTGTTATTTAACATTTTATTATTATTTATATCTACACTTTTTTCTGATATTATATTTGAGTCATTTCCGTTACTTCCAGTTACATAGACATTCTCTTTATTTAACTGATATTCGTTATTTATTTCGTTCAACAAATTTTGGTTTTCTCTTATTTTTAATTCCTCTTCTAATACATGATTTATCTCTTGTCTTATTTTTGCAAAATCCCTTAAAGAATTGGGGCATAAAGATTCCTTCAATATGTCGTTTCTTAATTTCGCTGCTAAATCACAATCAAAACCACATTCTTCTAAATCCTTCTTGTCTACATTTTCTCTTGCCATAAAGCAGTTATATTCTCTTTCTAATTTAATCATTTTTGAAAGTATATCTAGTTTTTCTCTTTTCACTTTATTCATTCCTCTTGTTCTAACACCTTTATATCCTTCAATAATGGTTTCCATTATTTCTTTATCTACTGCTTTTGATAACATTATTCTTAATTCCTCCTTAAGTAGAAAAATAGAAGAATTATAAACATATATATATAATAAGAAAAAAAAAAATAGATATATATTAATTAATAATTGTATGTGTAATTATTTTATTTTTATTCATAAATAAATTTATATAATAATTTAAATAATTTAAATATTTTATAAAATTAATGGAATTGTAAAAATATAAATTTATTACCTTAACTTTTTGAGAAAAAATTTTATCTTCACATTCAAGCTCTTTTAATTGATTTAAATAATCTATATTAAAAAATATATTTAATTGCAAAAATAGAAAGAAAATTAAATAATAAAATAATTATATATGGAATATATATATATATATATATTTTACTTTGTTGTTGTTCTATATATGGTTTTAATTTAACAAAAAATTCATCTACAAAAGAAATAGTTTTTTTAAAACTTTGATTCCATAATGTTTGTGGCTTAAAAGTACATTCTTTTTCCTCTTCTTCTTGTTTTCTAAAATACAAAAAAACATGAAATTATTTTTAAAATAAAAATCATGTTACTTTATATATACGTTAAAATTTTATTTATTTTAAGTTGATTATATTTATTTATTAGGTTTAATTTACTGTCTTTCTAAAGATGCTTTGAGCTGTTTATTCATTTCTTCTTTAATTGCTTTTTGATGAATAAGCTGTAAATTAATATATAGAATATATTACATAAAAAGTGCATATATTTACAACAAAATGAAAAATAAGATAGTTAAAATAGTATTTAACTTAAATATATTAAATTTAAACTAAAATTTAAAATTCTAAATATAGATTCATAAAAATTTTAATAATTGCAGTTTTTTAATCATCATATTTATTTATTTTTTTTTATTTTTTTTTTCACATAAATATGTGATTTTATATTTATTAAAATCTTACATTCCTCCATTTTTTTTCCCAAAGCACATCTTGCTTCTTTTTTCTAATTTAAAAAATAAAAATTAAATTAAATTTTAGATTATTTCTATAATTTGTTTAATAATAGTTAATTTTTTATTACTTCAAAGAGCTCATTTTCAAATTTTAAATTATTAATTAAAAAAAATATAGTGAGTATTTTTATTAATAAATAAATTATTTTATAATCCTTTTCTATTATATATTAAATATCTTTTATTTTTATTAAATATTTATATAATTTTTTGTCTTTTTTTTTTTTTTAATTTAGAATAAAAATACTACAAAAAAATCTTGAAAATAAGGCTGTATGATTTTTTTTTTTAAAATATAAGTAATAGACTGAATAATAATTAAAAAAAAATACAAATATAAAAATACATAACAAAATTAAATGAAAAATAACTTTATATGCAAAGAGTGGGATAAAACAAATTACAAAAAAGAAAAAGGAAATAAGGAAAGATAAAAATGATATAGAAAAAAATAGAAAGAAAAAGATATAAATAGATGGAAATCAAAACAAAAAAAAAAAAAAAAAATAGCTTTTTTTCAGTAACTAATTTATTGAAAAAAAAAAAAGAAAAAAAAACATTTTTTTTTTTTTTTTTTTTTTTTTTTTTTAAAGGTAGTTTAAATATTATAAAACAATTTAAAAAATAAAGATATTATTATATTTCTTTTTAATTTTCAAGAATATACTTTCTTTAATTACAATGTTTCTATATAAATTTTGTTTATTGAATGATATACAATAAAGTAAATTACTCTGTTCATCATATGCATCTAATTATTTTAATAGCTGTTTTTTTTTTTTTTTTTTTTTAATAGAATTTTCATTATTTTTTTTTTTTTTTTTTTTAAATAAACCCG